GTTATTAACAAAAGACGCAACAACATTCAAGTCATATGGCATCGTTTTGTGCTCATTGTTCTCTATAATCTATCTCCCTCCCTGCCGTTCTCGGGTTCTTCCTCTCTCATGCTCTATGTCCTGCTAAACAATCGATAAATCGATCGATCAATTGAGAGAGAGAGAGAGAGAGAGAGGGGGGGGGGGGGGGGGGGTGATGTCAGCCATGGGCTACATGAAGGACGAGTTGCTTGCTCGTTTACAAGCATACCTGCTCAAGAAGCATTTGAGTGCTCGTATTTGACTCGTCGTTCACAATCGTGAAGGAGAAACATTGACCCACAACTTACGAGGATGTCCATTTTGGTGACGAGAAATGCAAAGACGCAACCCCTACAGAAATCGCAAACACAGCACAACACCACTAAATCAAAGGCCAGGCGAGAGTTTTAAGTCTCCAAAACGGAGCTCAACCCAGCTCCCACTCCCCCCCCCCCCCTTCCGTTGCTTGTAAACACACAGAAAACAACACTCTAAAGCTAGGATGAAAAAAGTAGAGAAAAAATGTGTAAGCACGAGAGCGAGGAACCCGAGCGAATCGAGGATGACAATGGAGGTTAACGACGGAGAAATGACAGGTTTTTATTTTGATTCCAAATGCATTTTTGGAAAGAAAATCGAGAGGTGTTTCTAGGGTTTATTTCATTTGCGGAGGGACGGAAGAAGCAGGGAGGGGGAGTGGCGAGATTCAAGAGGGAACGAGAGGCGAGGAGCATTAGAGTGAGAGTGGTGGTGCTGCTTCGTCGTCTATAAAGGGAGGGAGAGAAGAGAGGAGGAAGAAGTTAGACTTAGGCTCCGTTCGTTTGACGGAAAATATTCTCCCGGAAAATATTCTCCGGGTTTTCCGGTGCTCGGGGGGCGAAAAACGTTTTCCGTGGGAAAATATTTTCCTTCCCCCCCTCACAAAATAGCCTAAGTCTATGGAAAATGACTTCCGCTTCTTCAAAAGCGGAAATCATTTTCCGGAGCTTCTTCTTCTTCTTCACTAAGGTCGCCGGCCGTTGCCGGTCGCCGTCGCTGGTCGCCGTCGCCGGTCGCCGCCGCTATCCGCCTCCGCCGGCCGCCGCCGATCGCCGCCGCTATCCTCCGTCGCCGGCTGCGGTGCCACCGCCACCGGCCGCCGTAGGTCGCCGGCCGCCGCAGCCGATCGCCCGCCGCGCCGCCGGTCGCCGGCCACTGTCGGTCGCCGGCCGCCGCCGGATCGCCGCCACCGCCGCCGCCGCCGCCGCCGCCGATCGCCTGGCCGCGGCGAAAAATATTTTCCGAAACTTTTTCATATTAATCACCGAACACCGGAAAATTATGTTCCGGGAAAACATTTTCCAGGAAAATGACTTTCGAAAAAATATTTTCCAAAAGGAGAATATTTTCCGCGAAACGAACGGAGCCTCAGGCTCCGTTCGTTTCCGGAAAAAAAAATTTCCGGAAAACATTTTCCGCGTTTTTCGGTGTTCGGGGTCGGAAAATGTTTTCCTTCCCCACCCCCAAATCCTTCATTGTTTTGAGGAAAATGATTTCCTCTTTTCACAAAGAGGAAATCATTTTCCCAAAAAGTGAAGGCAAAATTGCTCATGGGAGGGAAAATATTTTCCGTGATCGCCGGTCACCGCCATCCGCCGCTTGATCGCCGCCCTAGCAGTCGCCGCCGCCGCCGCCGCCGATCGCCGGCCTTGCGTCGCCCGCCGGTCGCCGTCCGCCGCCGCGCCGCCCCGCCGCGGTCGCCGCCCGCCCGGTCGCCGGCCCGTGTGTCGCCGCCGCCGCGGTCGCGATCCGCCGCCGCCGCCCGATCCACCGCCGTCGCCGGACGCCCGCCGGTCCACCGCCGGTCGCCGGACGCCGCCGGATCGGCAGTCGCCGAACACCAGAAAATATTTTCCGAAACTTTTTCAAATTTTAGCCGAACACCAAAAAATTGTGTTCCAGGAAAACATTTTCCAGGAAAATGACTTCCGAGAGAATATTTTCCAAAAGGAGAATATTTTCCGGCAAACGAACGGAGCCTTAGTTCTCAATTTGGGTTGAAAATGGATTTGTTACTTTAAGGGGCTGTTTGATAATTAGCCGAATAGTACCAAATTCTATTCTTTTGTTTTCTGAAACAAAAAAAGAACCGAAATCCGTTTGGTAAATCTTTTGTTCTTGGGCACAAATTTGTTCCCAGAATTAGTTTTGGAATATAATCAATAAGTTGATTGTTGATTCTGGGAACAAGAATCAGTTTTGGAACAGAATCAATAAGTTGATTGTTGATTCTGGGAACAAAAATCAGAAATGGAAAAGAATTTTTTTTTTTCCTTGTTCTTCTTCTTTCTTGGCCTGTGGCCGGAGATCGGCAGGCAACTATAGGCTAGGGCCGGTGAGGGTTGGACCCTCGCTTGTGGCCAGCGAGGGCTGCGACGCCCTCGCAGGCCATGGCCAAGAAGGAGAAGAGAAGAAAAAAAGAAAAGCAACTAAAAGAAAAAAATAGAAAGAAATATTAAAAAAATTTAAAAAATTATTAATAAAAAGAAATTTTGTACAGTTACCAAACGCATTTATGTTCTTTTTCTATTTCGGGAATAGAAATTTTGGCCCGTTACCAAACGCCTTCAAATGCTTAGAAATTATTTTCGGGAACAGAATAAAAAAAATTATTTCTGAGCAGAAATTATTTTCGGGAACAGAATGGTTACCAAACGCACCCTAACCCACCAAAACCCATCTTTTTTTGGCCTTTTTTCTTTGAAACCTATTTTGACCCATATTTTAAGTTTAACCTGACCCATTTATGATCCACTTCCATAAATATGAGTTAAGATATGGATTTGTGATCCATTTTAACTACCCTAATCTTAGCTTAAGCCTATATGCTCTCTCTGTCAAAAGCACCCTAAAACTGTGGAGCACATCTTTCTCCTCTACCAATGGACAAAGAAAGTATTGTGACACCTGATTCGAACATAAAAATCTCAGATCAAGGCCTCACTCGAATGGAAGAGTGGTTTTCACGACAAGGAAGTCCAACGAACAACTTACCTTCACCAAATTTGCCGTCCGAGGTTTTCGGGCATTTGTATAAATCAAGAAATCATTTTGTCTTTAGGCAACAACGCCGGAAATCGAATAACATGTCGGGGCAAGGAAGTGTCCATTTTCCAACATCCTCCTGCCATCACTACAATAAATGCTTCGCGCAAAGGAGGTGCGAGTGGCCAAGATTGAGCAGGTGGAAGCCTTAGCTTGCTTTGAAGCACTCTGGTATTTCAGATCTAGTTTTGAATGCAAGCTCCCATTGGAGACTAAGGGCCCAATTGGCAAGTTGCTAAATAGTGAAAATTTCTATTCTTTTATTCTCAGAATCAATTTGGGAACAGAAATCCGTTTGTTAAATTTTTTGTGCCCGGGCATAAATTTGCAAAAAAATGTTCCCAGAATCAGTTTTGGAATGAAATCAAGAAGCAAAAAAAAGTAGCTTCTTGATTCTGGGAACAATTTTTCCATTTTTAATTTTTCTTGGTTTTCTTCTTCCTTTTTGGTTTGTTGTTCTTCTTCTTCCTGGCTTGCCGCCAGCCATCGGCGACCGGCCATGGCCAAGGAAGGGAAGGGAAAGAAAGAAAAAAAAAGAAAGAAATACTAAAAAATTCAAAATATTATTAATAAAAAGAAATTTTGTGTAGTTACCAAACGCATTTATATTTTTATTCTATTCTAAGAATAGAAATTTTGGGCATTTACCAAATGCCTTTAAATGCTTAGAAATTGTTTCCGGGCATGGAATAAAAAAGAATCATTTCTGAGCAGAATCAGTTCCCGGGCATATAATCGTTGCCATGCGCACCCTAATAGCTGATCAATGATAAGTGCTCTCACAGATCGTGATCTACCAAGTTGGGAAGTATGACCAATTATCACCGAATGCAAACTTTTGAAGGCCCATTACAAGAACATCCAATTGGCCCACATTTGAGGAAGCAAATCAAGTGGCAGATTATATCGCGAAAGACCAATGGCAAAAAACTTTCCCTCGTAATTGGGCTTCTAATCCCCACAAATTTATGGGACCTAATTTGCTCTAGGCCAATTTATCGTATACTCATGGACTTATTTGAAATAACGAAAGCGGTTTGTTCCTGACAATAAAAAATTAGACAAAGATATTACTATTTATACGACACAATTATCAAATGATGGAAGAAAGGAATAAAAGATGGGGAGAGAGAAAAAACAAGAAATTTCATAATTATGCATGGAAAGGGGTTCTTAAAACGAGGAGCTCTCCTTACATTCCTCGATGTAAGATACAAGGTTAACCAACCTTTAAAATTGGGATCCTTGGTATAAGGTTAAATGTTAACTTCACCTAAAAGAGGAAGCTTTCACTCCTATAAAGGACCTTCGCGGCCTTTTCTATTTCTAAAGGGTGGACTTTACGAATGTATTTCTTATTTTAACGTACTGATGTCTGCACGCCTTACACCCTCAATTTCTTCAGTATCTTTAGAATTTTTACATCCTGACGATTTCAAGGTCCGGACGAAGACTAAGATGATTCCTCTCTCTCTCTCTGAAGGTCTTGCTCCGGATCAATATGGACATGATTACGAGGTATGATGTACGGATTGAATGAAAGATGAGGAGAGAGAGAGAGAAAACAAAAAAGAAAGTTCATAATTTATGCACGAAAAAGCAGGTTCTTACACCGTGCCGTCCCTCCGGAATTTGCCTTAATCACACACACACACACATAACCACCGCAAAGTCGCGAAATTTTGCAGAGCAGGGAGAAGAGGAGCGAGGTAAAAAGCAAAAAGCACGGACCCGGGAGCGGAGCGGGGGGGACAATCGACCCGATCCCACCGGGCGAGCGCATATACCTCTCCGTCGTCTTCCCCCAGAAAATCCCAACCTGCAAAACCCTAAATCCTCTCCCTTCTCCCCTTCTCCCTCTCCGAATCGGAATCGAAGCCCCCGACCTCCTCACTCCCGCTCCACTCCCACTCCAATCTCCCCCACCCTCTCCCTCCTTCCTTCTCCGTCTCCGCGTTCATGCCGGTGAATCGGCTGAGACCCATCTGGGCGTAGCACCGATCCCATGTCTCTCCCGTCCGTGGAGTGCGCGTACGTCACCGACGACCTCGTCCGCGAATGGAAGTCCGCCGCCGGGAGCTCCGTCCCCAGGCCTCCCGACCCCGCCCCCGCGCTCCGCTTCCTCTACGAGCTCTGCTGGGCCATGGTCCGGCTCTCGCGCCCGCCCCCCCCCCCCTGATTCTCCGCTCCTTTCGATTGAATTATGCGCATTCGATTTCCGGGTCTTTTCCCCCCTTTCGGGTTGGGTTTTTTTTTTTTTTTTGTGTTCGTGGGGCTCCTTTCTCAGTTCTGCTTGTCCTGCGACAGGTGCGGGGAGAGTTGCCGTTTCAGAAGTGTAAGCCGGTGTTGGACTCGGTGGAGTTCTTGGATAGACCGTCCAAGGAGGAGCTGGGCTCGGGTTTCGCCGACATCATCAGTCAAATGGCTCTTGACGTAAGTCGTACCATCTTTTCGAGCTTCCTTTGGTTTGCTGTCTCCATTTGGTGGGTTGCCGTGGAGGAGTTGGGCTGGGGAATGTGAAAATGAGGGCTTTTGACTTGATTTTAGCGGCTGAATAGGGTGGTCTCCCTCAACGAAATTTGGCCAGTCGTGACTACGTTGCTATGGGTTATCGTAATATTTGTCATAGAAGCATCGGCTTGATAGTATATAATATGTTTGTTCAGAATAGCTCCTTTGGTACGGTTGGTGGTAGAGTTCGAAAAAATTTCTTCGGCAATTTAGCAGAAGGAAGGAGACTAGCTAGTAATTGATAGGGCTCTCAAGTTCCGGTCGCGTGGATGAAAGATGGGGTGCTGTTCTGTGGAAATGGAGTAAATCGTGGTGTTCACGGTGAAACGGCACTAATTGAGCCTTGGAAAATATTGTCGATCAGTTCGTAAGACTTTCCGTGAGAGGTAACTTGGAAAAGAAATATCCCAATAAATAGTTTCTTAATGGGGGAAGTGTATGTGGTCTTGTTCTCAGTTTAGACAACCTTCCAAAGGGAGGACAAGTTTCGGCAAATTGTTGCTTTCTATGTTTTAAGAAAGAGGAGATCGTTGCTTCCGTCTTTCTTCAGTATCCTTGGATAAGGCAGACATGGTCAAGTTTTTATACTTCAGCAAATGAATTGGGTCATGGCAGGATCCGTGGAGCATGAAATTGGGTTGGCAGTGTATAAGAGTCTCTTTTGGTGAGAACAGAGTTTGTCAATACTGTTCATTTCTCCATACTTTGGCTAGTTTGGATAAGGAGGAACAAAAGAGCTTTTCAGGGAAAAGAGCTTTCTTTTGATACTTTTAGGGTTTGAAACTTTATTCTTTTGGTATAGTGGAAGATATCCATAAATGTGAATCTGTTGATAGACATTTTAGAATCTCTCATAAATGAGCTCCTCGTTCAACTTCAAGCTCTTTCAGCCCGGTGATAACTCTTTGATGAATTTTTTAGCTTTTCAGCATTCAGAAACATTTATCTCCCACCTAAATCAAGGATAAATCAGAATGCAACACTCAATACCAAACAGAAATGGAAAATTGTGTATTGATAATAAGTTTTGTAATTTTTTCATCAAAGTTAAAACTGAATCCAAAACCAAGCACACTGGCAGAATTACTTCATATTTCAGTCATTCTAAACTACAAGATCAAGAACTCCCTTTTAATGTTTTCATGCTAAAACATTCAGCGATACCTTCCAAGAGTTTTTGTCCTACATTTTGTGAATTGCGCTTCTTGTATTTTAGCGACTCTTTGCAACATTGAGTTGTCTCATGCTATTGAGTTTTAATACCACTTATGTGCACCTTTTGATCAGAGAAGTTTTCTCTTTGCCTCTAGGTGTTTTGTTCTGCCTATCGAAAGCTAAATCTGGCTTTCTGTCTTATAGAATCTTAGTAACAGAAATGGCTGAGCTCGTACGATGGGGTATGTTAGGTAAATTCTGATCGTTCTGCTGCCTTCTTAATGGTGTTGTTTGTCAAGAGGCATGGAGTTGCACCAAAATTGTTGAGATTGAGTTACATGAGGTGGCAGGTGTTTATTTTTTGAATGTTAAAGATGTTTATCGAATGGGTGTCAACGTAGGTACCATATTTATACAAAGCTAGATGATAGTCTCATTTTATAGGATGCTCAGCTAAGTGGATCTTAGCATTAGGATAGTCTTGTGCAATTTCTTAGAAATTCAATCTCTTCTATATATGCATAAGATATGAGTCTAAAGACTCTTTGGTCAGTGGCAAGTATTCAAACTTTTGAGAGTATGTTTAATTGTGTGCATGTACCATATAGATAAAGAAAAGGAAGTTATATAATGCCAATGGAGAAACAGGTGATGCTGTTGAAGTTTGTATAATGATAGTTGCATTGTGGACGGAAACTGTCTGAGAGAGAAGAAAGTATTTGTAAAGGAAGAGGATGGAATTGTATTTTATTCAATAGAGGAAAGTCATTAGAGGGAGAATGCAAAAATGAGCTAAAAGGTCAAATTACCAATTGGGAAGTTGGAATAATAGGAATAGAGGGTAACTTACTCCAATTCCCCTTATATTTTGACCAACAAGTGTGGACACCCCTTCACCTTTCCTCTTTTTTTTTTCAAGGGAACTACTCAAAAACATTGTCAGTATGTTGGATCCACCAATTTAATAAATAAGATGAGTGGTTTGAATTTTGCGTTTATTTTTATTCGAGTAGACTAAAAATGTTAACTTGAAAGGATGGTACCCATGTCACCAAGCAACAACAATGTGAGCCTCATTCCGCTAAATGAGATCAACTATATGTTCCTACCCTTTTTAACCTTTTCTCCATCATAGAGTCCTATACTCTCATAGGAGCATCGAAAGGTTTAAGTGTCTAATTGACTTTAGATGTGCCTCTCTTTTTCTGTTGATTAGGGCGACATTGACTTTTTCTCAATTACACATTTTTGCGGGTTATGCCAGTGCTTGCACATTCAAATGAAGCATCGTAATCAACGTTATGCTCATTTTGTGCACATGATGGTTCTTGATTGCCTTTCGTGCTATTGAACATTGTTGGCTTTATTGCCATCTTGAAGATATGAAATTGGTTTGTACAGACAATGTCATAATGTTTGATGATCATTTTATTTGTTGGCATAAACATGTAATCTACAGCATAATGCACTTGCCTTTTGGGGTTGAAAACTTAGAGTTTCTGTGCATAAGGTAGGTTCCGTGGTATGACAAAGGCCCTACTTACCTCGGATGCACACCCCTTTTGACTTTATAAGCATGTTGATTCTATTGAATCAAGAGGCTCTTGACAGTCATGCCGATCATGAATGCTTATGTATGGAGCATTTATGTGATAAAGGTTCAGTGCGGCTTGCACGTGTTCTAGGATTTTATTTATTTATTTTTCTCTTTCTTTCTTTAGAGAAATGATTCTGTTTTGATTTTCATCTTTGATTGAGCTAGTCATTGCTATTCAAGCTGTGATGTACTTTTTTATAGCAGTTTTGGTTATCCATTGTGCTTTGGTGACTAAGTTTTCACTGATGACGGAAATTGAATCTTTTTTGCAGCTTACTCTGCCTGGGGAGTTTCGTGCTCGTTTGACAAAATTGGTAGGTTCTTGATAGCTCTTGTGCGGTTGTTTCATGCAGAAAGATCATTCTAGTACTTCTTTATGGATATAAAAAGGTGGCTTTTCTGTTTGTTGCGCAATTTCTTGAGCAGTTCTGTATTGCTCGTGGTTTAATGTGATTTATCACTTTTGGCACATCGAGTAAGATTTTTGGATCAATTGATGAATGTTGGGTTTGTCCAACTCCAGAGACACTCTTCACAGTAATGATGGGGAATGTAATTGGATATCTCGACATGATGGGATCTCCATCTCCTCTCCCCTCTCCTCTCCTCCCCTCCCCTCCCCTCCCCTCCCCTCAACCCCAAAAGCATTGGATAGGTCCTTTTTATTCTTGCTGAAGATTGCCCTACCCCCTTGTAGGATGTAAGTCTTATTTTTTTTCCTTAAATGATGTCTCCGGATTGATGGAAACTTTTCGGCGAGGACTGTCATTTGCTTGATGTGTTAGTTGGTTAAATAACATCATGGTAATTTGTTCTTGTTTTGCACTAATTCATGCAATTGCGCAACCATTGTAAATAATTATGAACAAACTACAAATAATTCTACATATCAATATATGTATAGTTTGAAAGGTTTAGGTGTTTCGCAGTAAACCAAAGTCAAATTTTGAGAGCCGCAAGATTTGACAAAGTAGAAGTCACTCCAATTTTGTATGGGTACATTATTGTGGCCTATCACAGGAATTAGACGTCCTTGTTATATTCTTTTGGATACCTTACCAAATGTGTTTCGTATGTTAATAATCATTACAGACTGTTGATAGTACCAGTGTCAATTGTATGATACCCCACTGTTAGAATGTCCTTGTTATATTTTTGGGTACGTTACCAATACTGTTTTGAATGTTAATAATCGTTATAGACCGTTGATAGTGCCAGTGTCAATTGTATGACACCGCACTGTTACATAAAGTATCAATGTTTTACTAATATCCAGCAAGTTTTTCTTCGCTCCTCTTTTCTAGTCAATAAAGAGAATTATCTTATTGAGCATCAGCTCTAATGTGGTGAGAATATCTCACATTTTCATAGAGTTTAGCTGACCAGGGTAGAGGAATGTTATTTTCCCTTGAATTCCGGAGTCGTTTCTCTACATTTACTTGAAGTTTTTGGGTTTCGGAAAGTTGGTATTTCTTGTATCATCTGTGGCATGGACTTCTTAATTACGATGCCTCAATTTGTGGCTTGGAATATTCTTCATCACCTGTGCCTTCTCTTCTAGGCTAAATGGCTTGTAGACTGTTCACTGGTTCCGCTTAGACTTTTCCAGGAACGCTGTGAGGTGAGTTTTCTGTAATCTTGAAACTGTCCTTGGTTACTCATATTTTAGTGTTTATAATTTCAAAAAAAGAAAAATATGACTTCTATTATTGCCTTTTCATGTTAACATAATATCTGATGTGTATCTATGGAATGTAGGAAGAATTTCTTTGGGAGGCTGAACTGATCAAGATAAAAGCTCAAGAGTTAAAAAACAAAGAGGTGAGTTGCTTGTAAATATCCGTTGCATGTCCCATATGCTTCTCGTCTAGATTATTTAGGAACAGTCACAGGTACTTAGGAATTAGCAAGATCGATGGGTTTTTTTTCTCCTAACTTCTTTTTCAGTCAAGTGATATTAACGAATAATACTTTCCCCCCCATTTACCGTGTTCCAGTCTGTCTAAGTTCGATCTACTAGATATGCACGTACTCGATGTATTCTATAAAAGATTGTCAGCAGTAACATGAAATGATAAATGCTATGGAGTGCTTGTATTGCCACATAGAGAGACGGAACTCAGTTCATTTAATAACATGTGCAAAATGGCAGGAGGACGCTATTTGTATTAGGAGAGAGAATAATAGGAAAACATGTTAAATTGGTGCTAATTTGCTGATAATGACAGGTCAGAGTTAACACACGTCTACTTTATCAGCAAACAAAGTTTAACCTTCTCCGTGAAGAGAGTGAGGGCTATGCCAAACTGGTATGATCCTGATCTATCGCAACATTTGATTCTAAAATTTTACTCTGACTTAGTTCTCCATGATGTCTTTTAGAGATAGATTTTAATGATATCTACATAATTACACGGATGCAGATATGGCGTAGATATGTGTACATATTTCATTTGTAGACACTACTTTTTCATGCATCGCTTGTGTAGATGGCTTTATCCACCTTTGCAACATGATTTACTAGTATGATTTGGTAATTGTCCTCTTTTGAAATTTGAGTTTCTTAAATAGTGTGTTTTGCTTGAGTACTCTCTAGAATTTTAGCGATCGAGTTGTTGATGACCTGGACGATGCTGTAATTTTTCAATACTTTGAAATTGCTTAGATTGGCCGCTAGTGATGTTCTGTTTGAGCAATAGGGATGTATAGTACCTCTAGTTGGAGCAATTGCTTGATCGTTGTCACAACAAATTCCCATAAGTCAGCCACTAAGGGGGGAATGGAGGTTCTTTGGAGACTTTGGATGCCTCTGTATCTGACAACTATTTCTCTTGATTCTTATGGTTCACAGGTGACCCAACTTTGTCAAGTTTCTGATGCTTCCAGCGATAGTGCAAAAGCAGCTACAATAGGCGTTATTAAGGTTATTATTAATGCTTACATGTCTTTCAGTAATCAATTTGTTCTGGACTCTAACTGTCCATATTTGATAACCCCTGCAGTCATTAATTGGGCACTTTGATTTGGACCCAAATCGTGTTTTTGACATCGTAAGTCTCTTTTGGCAAATACTTTCATCTTCTTATTTTCTGCGGGGAGGTTGTCTTCCTGCCTTACACCTGTGCCATATGTATGTGCTGTCTTGTGTGGATTTGTGCAGATTTTTACTTCTGTTTAGGAAATTCCAATATCCATAATTTCCTTGTTTGTTAATAATTGGACCTGTCAGGTTTTGGAGTGCTTTGAACTTCAGTCTGATGCAACTATATTTTTGGACCTCATTCCTATTTTTCCGAAGGTAGTGGGATGCTACTGGAGTTAAATTACATAATTTTTCTGTTTAATTATTTTGAGGAGGTAATAGTCGATCTGCTAACGGTTTCCTATTTGGTTTTGCAGTCACATGCTTCACAGATCCTGGGGTTTAAGTTCCAGTATTACCAGAGAACGGATGTAAAAAGTCCTGTACCATTTGGGCTCTACAAGCTTACAGCTTTGTTGGTGAGGGAAGCTTTCATTGATCTCGACAGTGTGTGAGTTCTTCGATCCTTTTAATTAAATGTGGTTGCATTATTTTCTTGTTTAGCGCCATAGTGCAATTTTCATCTTGTTGGGCTTGCATCCGTAGGCTATAATGTTTTTGCAAGGCATTTTTTAGGCTAAGATCATGTTTTGCCAATGCTTCTTTGAGGTGAATGGTTATTAGGTTAAGTTGGGTTGGTCTAGTTTTAGTCTTTTGAGTAAGGATATCTGGTGTGTATGGTCGAATGTCTTCCGTAGAAATTAATATAAATCTGGATGCATCACTAGGTGTTAATAAGACATTTTATGTGCTTTCAAAGCCAATGCCCTCGAAAATTATGTGGTCTAAAGCGCCTTACCCAAATTTTCTTCTGCTAAATCACTTATAGTGATGTTTGGTTTAATCTTAGTAATCTAAAATAATTCAAATTTAGGGAAGAAGAGGATATGTCTATATCTTTGTCATAAAATGCTTGGAGCATAGAAGAAGAATGTAATCATCTAGTGCCAGCATGCATCAGCTTGCTTATTGCTCTTTAAGTAGATATGCTGATTCCTGGTGATGATAGACATGTATGTCTTTCTCATTTGTAGTCTTATATACTTGTAAGATCCAGACTTGGCACTTTTAGGCTGAAGTCCCGTCAAAGTGATACTCCACAAGTGTGGACACGAGATCTACCTTAGAAATAGTCTGCATTTGGTTAGAAGAAGAAGAAAAAGGGGGGGAGGGGGGGAGAGGGAGAGAGAGAGCAGTAGTGTGGTTCTCCGCAAAAAAAAATAGTGTCTGCTTTTGTTGCTGTCATGCTTGATTTTCACAAAGTGCACCAACAAGAGCGAAAGGAAATAAAAGGAAAAGGCCCAGCACAAAGGAAAACATCGAAATCATTTTCGCAATTATTGTAATATTTAAATATTAAATTGTGCTTTTATGTAATAACTTAAGCTTTTAAAATAGTTGGCAACGGTCTTACAAAAATTTTCAGGGTCCAAGTAAGAGATCCTGAGTTTAAATCTTTTCCAACCCTCTTATTTACCTCCCCAATCCTAGCCTAAGTGTGAGTGGAGTGATAAAAACAAATATACATTACATCTCACGCTCATCTTCTAGCTTAAGCTATAGGAACAGGCAATGGTCCACCAAAATTTTTTAATAACAAGTTCAATAACGCTAGGTTCCTAGACCAAGTCATACTTGTATGTACAGTTTTAGAAAAGATGACTATCTTTGAAGAGGAATTTAGGAAAAAAACCTAAAAAGCATGTGTAAGTCAAGAAAGTAGTCAAAGATTGAGTTGAAATTTGTGCTACGATGCCTTTTAGAATTAAGATGAATTGGTGTGTCCCTGTACCATGTCCATTTGATAAATTCTTTATAGACTAGTCCCCATGTCTAGCATTTTCTCAAAAGGAAAGTTAGACATGCGGAATCGCACCGGCATTGGTCTCGCGCAAGTGCAGGTGACATAGCTTATAATGTCATGAGCTTTTTTGCTGGTGGAAGATCACTGGTTAAAATGATGTTTGAAAATCTTTACAACATGAGTGCATCTGTGTACTAGTTTAATTAAGAGGAGATGACTAAAGTTGGGGATACTTCTCTAATTAATTTATTTAAAACATGTCTCGTACTTGTTGATGGTTTAACCTCCCTCTACTCGTAGGACAGGTTCTTGTCTCTGTGCTGTGTGCCTGTGTGGATGCATGTGTCTTTCTATATCAATGTAATGTGTGTGGGCTTGTTCCTTGTGTGTATGTGATTGGGCGCGTGCGTTTACTTTGCATAAGAGGAGCATTTCTTGATATATGTACCCGAAATGGTGAAATTTGAATACGCAAAATTGTTGGTTGTTTTGAGGTCAATGATTTATGTGTGGCAATACGTGTATAAAGGTCCTTTTCACTTTGTTTTTGAAGTTGGTTATGGTATTATGCCATTGCATTAAACATTGCTTCAAGATTTTCTTTGTCCTGATTTTTTCTTCTTTTTATGCTGTGTAGATTAGGAATAGGGCAAGTTGTCTGGTGTGAATTATTATTATATCTTCTTTTCACCTCCATTAGCAGGTTCTATGCGATTGAAAGAAAATTGAGATGCGTGTTTGTTTCCTTATTGTGCGTGCGATGCAGATGTGCACATTTACTTCCTAAGGACGAGGAGGCATTTGAGCAACACAATGCGTTTTCTGTCAAGCGACTTGATGAGGTATGTAAAGCAATCTATTGAATTTTGCATTATTTTCTCTTCTGATTGTTGTAGAATTTTATTGCTTTTCCTTTTTGAGGATATTCGAAATCATCAAATCTTGAAGAGCAATGTTAGTGCTTTCTTGCAATAAGGTTTATTGTGAGCCAAGTTTATGCTCTGCTTTGCTACCAAATGATATCTAGTTTTGGTCTGTTACTGTTTGTCTTCTCTTATGAAGCCTACTTATTTGTATCTTCTTTAGTTTAGTTTGAATTGATCTTTGCGACCGTTGAATGTGTTCTGCTATCAGTGGAATGACTGGCTATTTCGTGCAGGCTAATAAAATTGGTAGAATAAACCTTGCTGCTACTGGGAAGGATCTTATGGAGGATGAGAAACAAGTCGATGTGACGGTAGATCTTTTTACTTCTTTGGACATGGAATCTGAAGCAGTAGCTGAGCATTCTGCAGAACTGGAAAACAACCAAACTTTGGGCTTGCTTTGTGGTTTCCTTTCTGTGGATGACTGGTATATTAATAGCAGTTCTTTTATTTTCAACTTCCTGGTTGTTTTACTTTTCTGTAACTATTGGCGTGAGTATCCTTCTTCCTCAGTTTGGGGTCTCTGAGCTGTGAGTGTCAGTTATTTGCGTCTGTTGTCTGATTTTGTCTGGCACTCCTGAATTGGGCAAACTACATCATGAAGTCTTTACGCATTCAATTAGAATGTTACACAAGATTCTTTTTTTATTTTTGGTTCATAAACTGAAGTAATGGTCCAATCTATGCTTTAAGTGAGGCATTTATAAAGGGTCACAGCATGATGCTGTTCCCTGGGGCAGGTTTAATTAACTTTTTGCGAGTATATCGGAACTTCAGATTTGAAGTTTGTCTTTGTCATGTGGCAACTTCTTGGATCATAAGTATTTTTTATTTTGTCAGGTGCCATGCCTACACTCTACTTGATCGACTGTCACCCCTTAATCCCGTGGCACATCTCCCAATCTGCAACGGCTTATTTAGGTAAATATATTGATAGGTTCAGTAGCTGGGTTTTCTCATGATCGAAAACTTTGCAGTGCTGACATTGTGTCTCTTAGAAGTGAGATCAGACGTTTTGCTACATTCTTTTTACGAGCCACCATTTCCTGTAGCGGTATGCCCTGGTGTGGGGAGGACAGAGCTGTCTTTCACTTATCGAAGTTTTGGTCTTGTTTCCAGGCTCATTGAGATGACGATGACTCCATCATATAATATTGTTCGGCAAGCACATACTCTAGTGTCTTCCTCTGCTGCTGCTGTGGATGCCATGGGTGCTACAGAGTTGGCTCATAATTCTTTTATTGATCTTCCTAAAGAACTTTTTCAGATGCTTGCTTGTGCTGGACCTTATCTCTATCGTGATACTATATTACTGCAGAAGGTTTGACAATCTTTTCATAGACGTGTGATAATATTCTGGAATTTGACTTTACAAATTTTTGTTGAACTTTGCTCACATCCATGAGCAGGTATGCAGAGTTTTAAGAGGTTATTACCTTTCTGCACTTGGACTTGTGGAGAATGGTGATAAAGTATCAAATCCCGAGTTTCTTGCCGGTCAAAATAAAGTTCCTCGCATGCACCTTAAAGAAGCCAGGCTAAGGGTAGAGGAAGCTTTAGGAACATGCCTGCTCCCCTCTTTGCAGTTAGTGCCTGCAAATCCAGCTGTGGGACAAGAGATCTGGGAAGTTATGTGTCTCCTTCCATATGAGGTTAGGGCTTCCATCAAGCAATTTAATAATATTGGTTAAAACCATTTTTGGACCTTAAATGGTCTTACCAAACGAATCTTATATTGTTAGGTGAGATATCGTTTATATGGTGAATGGGAAAAAGATGATGAAAGAACGCCCATGATTTTGGCAGCACGGCAGACTGCAAAGGTCCCAATTCACTTGCTTTGTTTTATATGTGAGAGTTAAAATTTGTGGTATATTTGTCTTGTTTGAAGCTCAGTTTGTACTTTCATCTCATTATAGTTGGATACTAGAAGAATCTTGAAACGACTTGCAAAAGAAAACTTGAAGCAGCTTGGTCGAATGGTTGCCAAACTAGCTCATGCCAACCCAATGACAGTGCTCCGTACAATTGTTCACCAGGTAATTAACAAGCATTATTTTTATTTTTGTGGAATTTGTACTTTAAGAGCAGATCCCACCTAGTGGGAAAATGCTTAATTTGTAGTAGCAGTACTTTGAGTGTACTGAATATAATGATTTCGATGCTATATCCAGATTGAGGCATACAGGGATATGATCACTCCTGTTGTTGACGCATTCAAATACCTGACACAGGTGTGCATACACTATCACTTCATGACTTTTGGCTGAAGACTTCTTTCTTTTTAATATTTTCTTCACTTTACAATGGAAGAGGTCTCAGTTTCTTGAACAATATTTTACATCAGAGGCTTTCTTGATATGTCGTTGTGTAAAATGGACGCCCTTCACTAAATAAATGTTTTTCTTCTCCTGGTATGCTAATCATGCACTTTTGTCTCACTTAGTACTAGTTTCTTTGGCTTACCGTGTGTTCTTTCTACCTAATTTTATTTTCGGTTCTTTAATGAATAATTTTACTTTTAGAAAAACAATAATCATGCACTTTAAGTGCATCTTCCGCCTGTGGCTCCACCTGCCATTTGCGCTAAACCTCAAAGTCTAAAACGCTTCATTCAAAAACTTAGCTTAGTGAGGCTGCTGCTGTATGGTAAAAATTCTGCCTTCCACAAATCACATTCGTTTCAACAAGCACAACAAGGTTATTGCACATCTTCTGAAGAATTTGATGAGTTGAATGGCAGCTATCGTGGTGGTCGTTGGAAGTTATCCTGCCTACTTTTCCTGCTAAGCGAATGAGAGGCTCCAAAGTAGAGTTAGTAACAGTATGCTGCTTTAAGGAGAATTTTGTCAGCATGAAGTAAAGTACAACTCAGAAAGTAAAATACTGCTGGACCCCTGCATAATAGAATCAGTTAGAGGTGCGGTGAAGAAATGGTAAACCACTATTATGCTAGTAGGGATACTAATTTTGCTTGTGAAAAATAAAATTCGAAAAGCAAATAGGTATCCGGTGCAGTTGGCACAGGTGGTTAAAATTGCTGTTAAAGCTCTGTAAATCTATATGCCTTTAAGCTGGTAAAATGTTGCTGGATGCGTAGGTGACTAATCCCAAGTCAGCGTTAATGTCATGAAGGCTATAATATATACAGATCCTTGGTCAGTCTTGTGAGATTTTGTGGAACCACATCTAACCGTACTAAAAGCTTTAGCTATAAGATGAAGGCATGGTTTAATATTTAATTATTTTAACACTCCCCCTCACGTTTAGTCTGGTCTTTTTGCCTAGTACTAAGCATAGACATATTTAATTAGGGAGGCAAATGGGGCCTGGAAAGATTTGAACTTAAGACCTCTCGCTCTGATACCATGTGAGATTTTGTGGAGCCATAGCCAACTGTTCTAAAAGCTTAAGCTGTTAGATGAAGGCGTGGTTTAGTATTTAATTATTCTATCAAGTCTGAAATGCCACGAGATAGCATGTTGGAAATGATTGCAGTTAAATCAATTACCAATGTCCCATCTGACCACTTACTATTTAGGATTCTTTTGTAGAAGCTTCTTGATCGTCATTCTGGATATCTTCTGCTATGATCCATTTTGGGAACTGCATGTTCTTCCATTATGATTCCGTTTACTTCAATCTCACTCTTCCAGTTATCTATGCAGCTTGAGTACGACATTTTGGAATATGTGGTAATTGAGCGCCTGGCACAAGGAGGGCGAGAAAAGTTGAAAGATGATGGACTTAATCTGTCAGACTGGCTCCAGTCACTGGCTTCATTCTGGGGTCACCTGTATGTATTAGCATTCTTTATTGCAGATTTTTCCATTCATTCTTAATATGAATACGAAGTTTTAGGAATTACTACTGAGCCTTTCTTTAATTTGCTCTATGTGTATTGCTTGACATAACATCTTATACTACCAGAGGTTAGACTACTTGTTTGCTAACGTATGAGGAAAAATAGCTTTTGGTGGATTTTTCTTTCTATATGTGTAGTTGCTGTTCCATTCTTGTTGATGTGAGTTCGTTGTGGTCTAGCTAAGATAAACTTTATGATATTCGGCATTCTTGGATGTCAATGTTGTCTTTGCCAAATAATTGTACTGTCCCTTTCAATTAATTTTAGTTATAGATCTACTTCGGTCACAGTCGACATTCACCTCATTTTAGCTTGGAATACAGTTACAACTCTTAGTTTGTTTATGCACCCTTGATGACTGGAGAATCCTCATTTCAGTGTCTGGGTTGCAGATTGACCCCAGAAAATGAGTGTTAACCGATGGTGGAAACTTTATGAAAGTTCAAGGTTCAGGTCCATTGATGAACGTTAGGTCATTTTGTATGACCCGTGTCACTATCTAGGAGGCAATCAAGGTCAAGCACTGTTTGAATATTGCTCATGTCATGCATGTGCACAGATTTGACTGATTGGAACGCGTGCTATTCCCTGAAGAGCAATGAGGCAGGATCTTATTAGGACTTTGTTGGAATGGTTCATATTCTCACTTCAACTTCAGTTTGCAGATGTTAATTGGCTTGTTATAAGAGGTCTTTGATCGCATTGGTTGGTGAATAATCATTTGACTTCTTGGAGCAGCTATTAGGATTAAAATTTTTCATATGGAGTGGAGGGCATTTGTACATCTAGTAGAAGTTTGACTGAGATGGGTTTCTTTGTGCCATAAATATAAGAAGATTTGGCTCAAATTGTCTTGAGTAGAAAGGTCATGGCTCAGGATCTTATTAGGACTTCATTGGAATGGTTCATATTCTCACTTCAACTTCAGTTTGCAGATGTTAATTGGCTTGTTATAAGAGGTCTTTGATCGCGTTGGTTGGTGAATAATCATTTGACATCTTGGAGCAGCTATTAGGATTAAAATTTTTCATATGGAGTGGAGGGCATTTGTACATCTAGTAGAAGTTTGACTGAGATGGGTTTCTTTGTGCCATAAATATAAGAAGATTTGCCTCAAATTGTCTTGAGTAGAAAGGTCATGGCTCAGATGGAGAAAGGCAAAATCTCTACTAGCCCACAGTAACACTAGTAGATTGCTGATAAATTTTCAGTTCTTGACTGCAAAAAAATTGGAAGTTGATGCACATTTTACTTGCATCTGCATCAGACCCAGAGAGGAAAAAATAAAAAATTAATTGCATCTGGATATGATGATTGGACATGAGTTTACCACCCCCCTTGTAAGACTACTGGTGACTATATTGGAGCTAAAGAAGGGGGATGCCTCTCTGCATTGTGATTATAGATTTTCTCTAGTCACGTGTGGCCTCTCCAGGCAGCTTGGGGATGCCGAATTTAGAGGCTTGGTCTGGCTTTTGAGGTTCCTGCTGGCATTCACTGTCTTTGAGTTGGCAGCTTCATATTGCTCATTTTAAGCCATTGAATTGGACCATGGGAGTTATGTTCATGGTGTTTTGGTTGAGTTTACTATGGATGGAATAAATAGATGGTGCTTGTTGCATGAATGAAGAATGGTTGAATGGTTCCTGTTCTATCAATATAGCTGGCATTGCCGTCTTCAAGGCTTTGTCAGCTATCAGTATAGCAAAAGATCTGTTATGATTCAGCCCATCTGGTTTACTGGGATGTAGTTTGTTGCATTTTGATCAAAAGAAGCACTATGCACCTACTTCTGAGCGCTAGAGAAGGATGCCAGATCAAAGAATTGTTCTATCTTGTTTGAGTTGAAAATCAGTAAGTTAGAGGGCCAGAGCTTATCATTTACCTTGAGCTGCAAAGTTGTCAGAAGTCAGTTATGTTGAAAATAACGTTGTTGATAATTAAAATGATCCATTCTTTCTCTGCACATGTAGACATGGACATGCACATGTACCCAACTGACATGCATGCATGCAGACAAACTCATACACTGGCTCACATAGACACAATGCTGCATCTGGGCTCGCAAATAATAGTTGGAGCTTTTATTCATATCTTGTCTCTTTTCTTTTGCTTTAGGAATTGAGTACTAGTTTTGCATTTATTGAACTTTCCGTAATTATGTTGTTTCTAGGTGTAAGAAATATCCATCAATGGAATTGAGGGGTCTTTTTCAGTACCTTGTCAACGAGCTGAAAAGGGGTCAAGGAATTGAACTTGTTCTTCTGCAGGTGATAGAAATCTACAGGTTATGCCAATTTTGATGCACTACTCAGTTTTTCTTGTCTGTGACTAAATGAATCTCATGCCTGAAACAGGAGCTTATTCAACAAATGGCAAATGTCCAGTACACTGAGAATCTAACAGAAGAACAACTGGATGCCATGGCAGGGGGTGAAACTCTCCGGTATCAAGCTACTTCTTTTGGTGTGACTCGCAACAATAAGGTACTCTGAACTTGCTTTTCCACAATCACAGTCTCTGCTTTCTATGTATGGTTTTTGACTGATTTTTTTTATGTAGTCACCTTCTTAATACTTGAAATTTGTCCAAATTGTTTGTTGAAGATGCCTGGTATTTTATATTGCTTTTCTGCAGAAGAATTATATATAGGTCTTACTCTTAGGAACTTGGGTACATTCATTATTTTCTAGTTTCTTGACTTTGGGCTTCAGACACATTTTCAGTGATCCTACTATTAAGAGTTAACGTATGTTCCCCATTTTGATAATATAGTAAGTGGATTTCTTTCTGCCAAGTGGCTGTTTATGGATCTGAAAAGGAAAAAAAGATTCATGTACAATCTGAAACCTATTCATCATTTTCTTCTTTCTCAATTGTGATGATGGTGCAGGCATTGGTCAAATCAACTAACCGGCTAAGGGATTCATTACTTCCGAAGGATGAACCAAAGTTGGCCATACCGCTTTTGTTGCTCATTGCTCAACATCGTTCTGTGTAAGATTTTCTGATTAGTATTGTGTGCATAAGGACTTACTATTATACATGAACTGTCAACATATTCTACTACTAACCTAGATTCATTATCCGTGAAAGATAAAAGTGGAATCAAATGATTGTTTGTTTGGTGTCTGTTGAAGCGATGGCTTACATTCGTGATGAAGCTAATGGTGTCATTAATCTTAAAGTCATACTTACAATATGTTTGATTTAAATATCGGAACCTCTTCCCATGTTAGCATGATTATGTCTGCCGTACTTTATTGTTTGTTGTTGTTGATACAGCACAATAATACCATGGACAATGTGGAGTTGATGCTTGACAGTCCTTCCTATTGCTTGTGTTCTTCCTTGGTTTTTTTGCCCCTCAACTTTGAAGCTTATGCTGCATCTGTTTCCCACCTTGTTGAGGAGAAAAATGTTTTCAGGCATGAGAGACTCTAATTGAATGCAAAGTTGCTGCATCACTTTCTCTGTTTAAAGACATTGTTATTTTCCTTAGGCTAGGCATAATGAATTTCCCTTTACTTCGTCCAAGTTGTTGATCATTCACAAATAATTGCTGCAATGGTTATTTTTTTTATCCTTTGTGAAATACTGATTATGTGATTGCAAGCCCAATTCTTTTGCTCTGTGACTACTGTCAAGTAAGACATGTCATGCCTTTTTCTGCAGGGTTGTCATAAGTGCTGAAGCACCATACATTAAGATGGTCAGTGAGCAATTTGATAGATGCCATGGAACCCTTCTTCAGTATGTGGAATTTCTCTGTAGTGCTGTGACACCACCTACAGCATATGCGCAGCTGATTCCCTCACTTGATGATCTTGTTCACTTGTATCACCTAGATCCTGAGGTCTCTCTCTCTCTCTCTCTCTCTCTCTTTCTCACTCTCAGAAAAATAAGAAACAAAGGGAGAAAGATATTCACCTCCTTGGTTTTTATTGTTACTGAGTAGTGTGATTATGCGATTGCTAAATTTTTGTAGTATTATGATCCTTTTTTTTGTTTCACCTTGATTCAGGTAGCTTTCTTGATATACCGTCCAGTAATGAGGCTTTTCAAGGCTCATGGAAGTTCAGAAGTTTGCTGGCCTTTGGATGACAATGAGACTATGAACTTAGAGGCTGAGTCTGAGGATAAGTCTTGCAACTTAGCTCTCAATCTTGGCCGACAAATGAAGCCAATCATGTATTGATGGACTCTCATGTCGTCATCTTTTTATGTGCATGTGTCGAAATTTGAAAGCACTTTTCTCTGCATGTAACACCCTTTTTTTGTCTTTCTAGTAGATTTCTGATGTGTGGACCTTATAGAATTTTATTTAACTTGTAGCTGCTAAAGCGTCGTTTTATGCAGGTGGTCGGACCTTCTTGTGACTGTCAAGTCTATGTTGCCTGCAAAAGCTTGGAATAGCCTCTCCCCTGATCTTTATGCTACATTTTGGGGGCTCACATTATATGATCTCTATGTTCCTAGGAGTCGTTATGATTCTGAAATTGCAAAGCAACATGCGGCACTTAAGGCTTTGGAGGAACTTTCTGATAATTCAAGTTCTGCAATTACCAAAAGGAAGAAAGAGAAAGAGAAAATTCAGGAATCTCTTGATCGTCTGACCAGCGAACTCCACAAGCATGAAGAACATGTTGCTTCTGTTCGGAGACGACTTTCACGTGAAAAAGATAAATGGTTAAGCTCCTGCCCTGATACTCTGAAGATAAATATGGAGTTCCTTCAACGTTGTATATTTCCACGGTGCACTTTTAGCATGTCCGATGCTGTCTACTGTGCTATGTTTGTACATACTCTTCATTCCCTGGGGACCCCCTTCTTCAACACAGTTAACCACATTGATGTTTTGATATGTAAAACATTGCAACCCATGATATGCTGCTGTACTGAATATGAAGTGGGAAGACTTGGGAGGTTCTTGTATGAGACTTTAAAGACAGCCTACTATTGGAAGGTAATTTTCGGTCTGGTTTTTGCAGTAATAGCATCGTGGTCTTTTCTTATATTGTCTTTATGCAGCTTAGGCTTCGAGGTGTATACATATATGTATGACTCTTCTTCATAGTTATTCAGCTGACGGACTTTTTTTTATAACATCTTGATCATGATAACAACAAAGACTTATATGTTTTTGGCCTACGGGGGTCAACTCGCGCTTTTTTTTCAGAGTGACGAATCCATATATGAACGTGAATGTGGTAACATGCCAGGCTTCGCTGTCTATTATCGTTACCCAAACAGCCAGCGTGTTACATATGGGCAGTTCATAAAGGTAATCTTTCATTGATTTCTGCCTGAAACTCTTACCTTTATGTCATAGGAATAAGATTTTTTCATGTACCTCCTGAATGCTTTGTCTCTTTTCTGTGAATAGTCTCTTATGGCAATATTTGTGTTCTATGCTGCTAGATGTGGGTTTCCTTATTCTTGCTGCTTGTATATGCTGTATATATGCTAAATTTCCATGAATAGGAAATTTCCATATTTAAACTATTCTTGTATTATAATGATCATTCATACAATTTGTCTCGGATATCTATCCACCCCATTCATTTCATGATCATTCAATGTAAAACCAACACGATCTCACTAAAGAAAGGATATATTTTCACTTTTCCTTTGTCTTTTTTTAATTCATCATTTTTCTATTTTTGTTTGTTATACAATACCTTAGAACTTTGTTTTATGATACTGGTGCATAGAACTACGGCAAACAATGAAGAAGTATAGAACTAGAAAGACTGCATCGGGCCTCTTAAAGTGTATTTTCTTTCATTATTGTGTTGTTTGAAGAACTAAGGTTCTTTACTCAAAAAGCTATACTCATTATCAAGTGAAAGCTTGTTCATTTTGCATATAGGTGCTGTCGTCTGAATTTTCCTTTTTCGCATAGGTGCACTGGAAATGGAGTCAAAGAATTACGAGGTTATTGATCCAATGCCTGGAATCAACAGAGTACATGGAGATACGGAATGCCCTCATCATGCTGACAAAAATTTCTGGTGTTTTCCCAGTTACTCGAAAGAGTGGGATTAACCTTGAAAAACGGGTTAGCATCGTCTGCTTGGTTGTTAATGATTTTAATGTGAATTTGATGATGTCTAAATTGCTTGTGCCATTAGACAAGATGTACTTCTAAGTCATTGCCCAATAGATACTATATCTATCTTTATGAAGAAAAAATCAGGCATCGAAGGGAATTCTTATGTTTATCTCTCCAAATCTATAGGTTGCTAAGATTAAAAGTGACGAAAGAGAAGATCTCAAGGTATTGGCAACAGGTGTGGCTGCTGCAATGGCTGCTAGGAAGGTAACTTCTGATTTTGATTGTTCATTTAACTTTTTAGTTTACACTGTAATTAAGTGCTCTTGTTTGTAGCCTTCATGGGTTACCGATGAAGAATTTGGCATGGGCTATTTGGAAGTAAAACCACCATCACTTGCTTCGAAGTCTGTTTCAACCAATTTAACAGCGTCAAACGGTCCAGCTCTAGCTCAGAATGAACATGTTGGGGGAAGAGGAGCACAAACCGATGCTGGGAACTCAGTCAAAGAGCAAGCCTTAAGGACAAAAAATGCAGAGAGAGGGCTAGAGAAAACAGATACTTCAGGTGGAAAAACTGATACTGGAAATCTAAAAGTGAAAGGTGGGTCAGCTGCAAATGGTTCAGAGGCTCAGATAACTACTATTCCAGCTGTTGCACAGTCTGGATCATCACATCAAAGATATGTGGAAGAATCTGCAGCAAAATTTGATGAAAGCAATTCTAAAGCTGCTCCAAAGGACTCCACTGATTCTGAGGTACTCCTTATTTTAACTGTTAATGGTTAGTTTCATATTGCAGGAGTTGTAATTCACTGTATAGATTGATGGATTTGTGGAGATTGAGGAGAGTAGTAGGACCTGACTCGCCAGACAATAAGAGTAATTCAGTATAGTGGGATAATTTCGTAGTGCTAAGCTGAGGGCCTGTGGGATGCATGGGGTAATAAGCTAGTAGTTGTCGACGTGGTGGTCGGTCCTGTATCATAAAAAATGCTAATCTATGGTTGCTTAGTTATCACGTTGCAAACTTAGGATATATTCATTTACTCAACGCAAATGTTTTAATCATTTTTAAATGAATCTTTACACTGTAGTCACACATGGCCACAAGCATGCCAATTAATCGGGTTATCCCCATGTGAGCTCTCTCTTTTTTGTCATTGCATTTTCTCCTGATTTTGTTTAGCCAAAACCTTACCATTTTGTGACTGTTATTTACTTGTGATAGGAATTAATTGCCGCTTAGTAATTTTCAGCCATTTGTTTTGCATTTTTATGTTGCTTTTGTTCGCTTTTAAAAATAATATCAAACAGGTTTGTTCGATTATCTTTGCAGAAAACTTTTACTTCGAAACAGCTTATGTTTGCCTTTGAGGGAATACATCAAAAAATGGAGGATACAAATTGGATATTAAACTCTAGTGTGATTGTAATTTTTGCACTTAGGTTTTATGAGTTTATCAAGCATGCATATGTAGGCATGATGGCATTTATCATTGTGAGAGGGAAAAGTGTATCGTATTATTCAATAAAGTTCAATATATACATCAAAATAACCCTAAAGGTCTTAAAGACCACTTTACCCTTTATACTTCTAACACTGGCCCTCAAGCTAGAGCATAGATATTAATCATGCCCAGCTTGTTACAAATATAATCTATCCTTCCATTACCCAAAGATTTAGTAAAAATGTCTGCAAGTTGTTCACTAGTTCGAATGTGATAGGGAAGAATCAATCCACTTTGCAACTTTTCTCGAATAAAATGACAGTCGACCTCAATATGTTTTGTTCTCTCATGAAACACAGGGTTGGAAGTTGTATGCACTGCAGCTTTATTAACACACCACAGAGTCATGGGTACTGAAGCTTTAAAGTCTAACTCAGCCAATAACTGCTGAATCCACACTGATTCACATGTCACTTGTGCTATGGCTCTATATTCTGACTCAGCACTAGAGCGTGCCACAACACTCTGTTTCTTACTCTTCCATGATACTAGACTTCCTCCAACCAAGGTACAATAGCCAGCGGTAGACCTCCTATTGTTAGAAGCATAAACGGTAAAGTAGTCTTTAAGACCTTTAGGGTTATTTTGATGTATATATTGAACTTTATTGAATAATACGATACACTTTTCCCTCTCACATGGTATCAGAGTTGGAGGTCTTGAATGCGAATTTTTCCAAGCCCCATTTGCCTCCCCAATAAATTATTTCCACGCTTAGTACTAGGCAAAAAGATCAGACTAGGCATGGGAGGGGGTTGTTGGAATGCCATCATCTAACAGCTTAATCTTTTAGAATAGTTAGCAGTGGTCCCACAAAATCTCACATGGTATCATGGTTCTTCATGACTTTTGAATAATGTTCAACAACCCAACATAAAACGTTTCCTTGAAAGATTAAGAAGTTCTTTGGAATGTCCATTAATGATGACATTATAAGTACATGAGGCCAAAATACATAACCGCGTCTTGTGTATAAAAGCTACTTAAGTTTTATTGCCATTGAAATTTGGAATTATCTTTGGTGTTTAGGCTCTTATTTTGTTTGTGCAAAGTTGCTTGAGAAGAAGTTTACCCTCATGCCCAATTACTATTGAGAGACTTGCTCGTCAGGAGTACTATTAATGTACAGAGGGAAGGAGAGAGACTGAAGTTTACTGCTTAGGGGAGAAAGCATGTGTGAACTACCATTGTTGTCTATGAATTGCTTTTATGCTTTTTGTTAGCATTTTCATCCATTTGTCGATTAAGTGTTTTAATTTGGTCCAATAGCTTACTGCTGGTTGATAAAGTATTACACATGATGATTGATGCTTGAAATTCTTTCTTCTCATGGGAAATTGGCCATTCTTCTTAGTGATAGATAGTTTAGTTGACATTTGCTCGGTGAAAAAAATAGCTTCTTGAGGCTTTCAAAAGACAAAGAAACGAGAATATAGCCTCTTGAGAGTATTGTCACATGCTAAGCCAAAACAGTGCCACTATATGCAGCATCTGATTATCATCATAACCAATTGTACATGGCGGTGCACTGTTAGCCGTGATATTTCAGTGGAGACTGCTTAAAAACAGTAGCTTCTTTTAAGTGTGGTCTGAGTACCTTAGATTTTATTTGGTTGGCTTTCCCCTCCTACAAACTATTCCTCGAATTGATCATTATTTCCTCTACAAGAAATATGGTTGCCATGGGGTTTCCATTCTTATCTTTGGATATTATATTAATTAGTTTTGTTGTGGAAATGACTCTGTCATAGTTGTATACATATTAAAATTTCCTGTTGCTCAATGTGTTTGCTCCTTGTGGCTTTGTACATGATCTGGAAGCTCAATTGATGTTCAATGCCAATTTATTTTCTTAATTTTGACTGATGACAGTTGAAAGCTCCAACCAAAAGAGCCATACCTGCTGTATCACATGCTAAGCCGCCAAAACAAGATGGTAAGGATGAGAAATCTGGAAAGACTGCTTCTTCTACAAACGATAGGAATGTTTCTGCTCATACATCTGAGGGTAGGCAAGTAGCTGCTACGAGTGTGTCTACAACTCTGACAACTAATGGGAATGCTAAAGGTTCTACTCCATCTGCAAGATCTTCAATTGATGTGCATGGGGTTGAAGCGAAGACAGAGAGTGGAGCTGCCAAGTCATCTGATGGGAGGTCTTCTCATGTTAAAGATGATGGAAATGATAATTATGATGCACTAAAACCTCCTTCTCGACTTGTTCATTCCCCAAGACATGAGAGTTGTTTAGCTTCTTCGAAGTCTGGCGACAAGCTGCAGAAAAGGAGTAGTCCTCCAGATGAAGCTGACAGGGTTAGCAAGCGTAGAAAGGGGGACAGTGACTCCAAAGATTTGGAGGGAGATGTTCGGTACCCAGATAGAGAGAGGTCTGTAGATGCTCGATTTCTGGATCTTGAGAGAACGGGGAGTGATGAGCAAAGCATCTATAGGAACACAGATAAGATTTTGGACAGAACAAAAGAGAGAATTGTTGATAGATATGACCGAGATTACAGGGAGCGTCCTCGTGGAGATGATGTAGTGGTCGAAAGGGCAAGGGATCGGTCAATGGAACGACATGTTAGAGAGCGTTCAGTTGATAGAGTGCAGGAGAGAAGTAATGACAGGACTTTTGATAGGCTCCCTGAAAAAGAGAGGGGAAAAGATGATAGAAGCAAGCTGAGGTACGGTGAAACTGCTTCGGAAAAAGTTCATGCAGATGACCGGTTTCATGGGCAGAGCCTGCCACCGCCACCGCCCTTGCCACCCCACGTGGTACCTCAGTCACTTGGTTCCAGTAGAAGGGATGAGGACAGCGATAGAAGGTTTGGAGTTACCAGGCATGCTCAAAGACTTTCTCCAAGACATGATGAGAGGGAGCGCAGGCGGTCTGAAGAGAACATAGCTTCACAGGACGATGCAAAACGAAAGAAAGAGGATGATTTTCGCGATAGGAAACGAGAGGAACGAGAAGGGATGTCATTGAAGGTATGCGCCACCTTTAATTGTGTTAAAAGTAGTTTAGTACAATGGCTGGAAGGATATTTTATCTATAAGTACTCAGAGATCGTTGTGTTCTAATCGGTGGGCATTGTGTCACGGCAACAGGCCCGTGACAATTGCATATATCTTAATGTTGAGTTCTATATTGGCGAGACATTCTTTAACTTCTGATAAAGGTTTTTGGTTGAAAAAGAAAAAACCGAGGCTTGGTTTTGCTAAGTTGTATGTACTGTCTTTGGTGCAACACGGAACCTCGTCATTCCACTACAGGGTTTTTGAGTATGGCAAAAAATGATACTCATAATCACCTCTGTACACTCAAGTCGTTTTTTCCTGGGATGATAGTCAAACTTGATGTTTGGACGCATGATGTTGCCCTCATCTATCTTATATATGGGGGCTTATTCTGAAAGACAGTGGAACCCTTTGGCTGTAAGCCCTGCATAACTGCCCCACCAGATTGTGGCTCATGAATGAAGTGAGTTCAGCTGACGTTGATAGAAACTTGATGGAAGATAACTAAAGTTTTACGTGATCTAAAATGCTTATTTTCCCCCCGTAGGATTATTGTTGTGGGTTTTTTGATCTATTCTCAAATTCTAATTAATTTAAGAAATTATATTAAAATATTCCATATATAATGAATGGCCTTTCATCAAATGTTAATTATATTTTTCTCTCAGATACATGTTACTGGTTATGCTGTATTATGGAATTTTTTATCCTTTCCTTTTAATTTTGAAGAAACAAGTATCAAAGTTTAGATTATTGATTATCATTCTTTAGATTGGAACATTTTTGCTCATATTGTTGACTTTGTGCATTAAGGTGGATGAGAGGGACAGGGATAGGGATAAAGCGAACCTTCTGAAAGAGGAAATGGATGCAAATGCTGCTTCAAAAAGGCGGAAACTGAAAAGGGAGCATCTTCCATCTGGGGAACCTGGGGAGTTTTCACCAGTGGGCCCTCCTCCTGCCCTAACTGTCGGCATGTCACAATCCTATGATAGTAGGGACAGGGGAGAAAGGAAAGCTCTCATGACCCAACGCCCAGGTTACATGGAGGAACCAGGACCAAGGGTGCATGGTAAAGAGGCGGCAAGCAAGATGGGCCGTCGTGATGTTGACCCGTATCCTTGAAAATCATTTTCTATCATATTGATCTTGTTTGCACACAATAGGTTTGAATTATAGCAAGAGGCCTCGTCATGAATGATGGCACTTGTTTGACCCTCTAATAATGTCTTGCTGCTGCTACTTTTCATCTCTTCCGATCATTTTCTGTGTCTGACACATTAATGACTTTGTTCGTTGGTAGTTTGTTCTAGTATTTAGAAGTTGCGCCATCGTTGACATCAATGCGGTGTCAGCCTCCCTTGTGCATTGTAGTTGTAGATCGGATCACTGTTAGAAGAGTGCTGCCATTTTATGGAACCTCCCATGCTCTTTGAGAGAAGAGGTTTTTGTGCGAAAAAAAGTTTTCCTCTGTTTGCAACATTATTTTTGCATTTATTATGTTCTCTGGGTTGATGCAATAATGGCATCGTCTTTGAAATTAAGATCCTTAACTGGTGTAGGATGTATGAACGAGAATGGGACGATGAAAAGAGGCAAAGAGCTGAACAGAAGCGAAGGCATCGCAAGTAGATGAGTAGAGATTTTGAGACCTATAATTTCCAAGGCATCGGCGAGATGTCGCTTTTAGCTCAGGAAATGGACCAGTTACCCCTAGAGACCATCTGGTACTGTGCTGTCTTTGATCCTCTTGGTATCCTGAAGCCTTTATTACAAGGAATCGGCTCACGAGCTTCATGCGATTGGTTGAAGTTCCAATTCAACATTTTGTGTGCTGAGCTTCTCCTTAATCCAGTGGATGTTTGCACAATGTCTTATTTCGTTTCTTCAAACTACAGGACGATAGTGCGCTGGATTTTTTATGTAATGATTTTCATGTAAAGAGTATTCTTGAAGCTGGATAGAAAAGAGGATGCTTTGTTTCGCCCCATGTAATGTACATAACCGAGTACTCCAGTTACATATTGCGGCTGTATCCCTAACAGTTTTGCCTATTGGTTCAGCGAATGGTATGGCCTAGCGTGCTCAGGCACAAAATTGTTTCAAAGAGTTCCTTGTGGGATCGTCTGCTTGTTATGGTTGGGTTGTGGACCGCTTTCACTATATTCCTTGCAGAGTGGAAGAGTTCTCACGATATTCATTTGACTGTCAACTGGATTCGTGTTTCTCGTTTTAGGCCGGTTATCGCTACTACCTAGTCGTTTCTCGTTAGGTTGTCCGTGTACAAGAGTAGCTGTAACTCAAGTTATTAACTGAGATATCTCCATATGAAATTGGATGTTCAGTGCTCTTAACAGCCTTATCGCATGTCCAGAATTTAACAATAGCATCCGGAAAACCGGTTTCACGTTTGGTGGTGTTAAGTTTCTTTGGCAAAAGAAATGTGGGCGGTGTGGGGAATCTGCAAGCTTTAGTAAATTTCTCGTGATATATGACAGGTTTTATGAGCTTCGTCTTGATGCATAGAGCTAAATATAATTCTAGTCACTAAATGATGGAAGACTGCGATATATAATGGGAACAACTATCAAAAAAGTTGTAAATTTATTGCACGTATATCAATTCAGTCATAAATCTTTTAATTATATCAATTAATCTCTTAAGATATCTCTCTTTCGATTTTTCTCTCACTTCAAGCTCCCTCGACTGAGATGGCTCCATCTTCTCAACTCGAATTGGGATTTTCTCTCCCGATCTGGTCTGGGAGTTTCTTTAATTGTTTTTATATAGCTTTTTGTTTTTTTTTTTTGTTTTCATTTACTCGCTATTGATGCTCTTCTCTGCTTGATGTGCATATCTTCCGCTTCCATCGTTAGGAATCAACTTGCTATTTTAGATCTTCCAAACCGAGAAGTCCGACAAGTTCGGAGATGAATACAGTTAGTTCATACTACACTGGAAGCGGTTATACGATTTCTCCGAGTTTTGAAAGCTTTCATCTAGATCTGGGAGCTTTTCTCTTCCGATCTAGATATAGATTTGGGAGTTCCTTAAAGACATTTTTGTGCTCGTTCTATTGTGCCAATTTTTGGCATAACTAGGTTTATAATTTTTTTGATAATTTCCTATGTATAAAGTGGAGAAATTATTCAGTAGTTTGATGCCAACACATCATAATCCCATGTAGCGTGTATTTTTTCACTCTTGTCCACCGATCCAGTTACTCGGAATCTAAGTAAAAAATTAAAAAATCTTCCTTCTCTTCACCTCTGAGCTCTCTCTTGCTCCTTTTTCGTCCTCAGCGATAACATCACTGTATGTGTTTATGGTGGTGCAAGTCTATCAACTTCTGGCTTTTTGTGCAACTCTTTTATGTTCGTCTAAAGTCAAGGCCATGATGACCTCTGAGCTCTCTTACTTGGTGTTGATTTACCGACAAAATCTTATATATCAGCAACATATATTATTTTTTGAAGGTTAATGTAATAGGTTGGTACTGAAATAGAAATGAATCAGAGAGCATAAATTTGATTAGAAATATATTTAGTTTGTTCGATTTTCCATTTACTTTGTTAAAAAAAACTGCTAATTTTGTGGAGAAGCCTCTTATCATCGCATTTTGACCCCCCTAATCAAATAATCTTGTTAGCAATCTATATCAACAGTTAAGATTTAGGATCATAAGGCCGCAATGAGGATGTAACAAGAATTCAAAACTCCAAAATTTCGCTAACAGAACATTGGCTCGAACAGAACCTACCAAATCTTAAACCTTGCCTTTGCACTGTTTATGTTTCTGGGTTTCCACCCTTTTCCTCGAACTTCCACTTTGATTTCCTCATCTTCTTGTCCTCTCGGATGTTTCCATCACTGAAAGAAAAATGGTGAGAGATTAGGGTTTCTGATTCGCGGTGTTTCTTGATGATTCGAGGGTTTTTGCTTCTCCCTAAATGATGGCACTTTCACTGTTTATTTTTTGTGATTTTTTTCAGCTTGATGGTCTGGCTTCACTTCACCTTATGATCCACTTCCATGCCATCGAACTCTTTTATGACTCCATAGGTTTGTTAATATTATTTCAGAGAGGACGAAAAGCTTCTTCGCCCGAAGGAAAGAAGAGGCCGGAATGGCTGAGCGATCTCCTGCGGTGCGGCTTCTTTGGCCCGTGCAGCCGCCACTGTGAGATGCCGAGGAGCGAGCAGAGGCTCTACTGCATGGACTGCAATCTCGCCATCTGCAAGCACTGCGCCGCCGACGACCATGGACACCATCCCCGTCTCCACATCCTCAAGTACAAGTGCGACAACGCGGTTCGCGTCCAGGACATGCGCAGCTACTACAATTGCTCTGAAATTAAGGTTTCTACATCATTTTTCTTATTCTGACATGAAGAGAACGATTTGAAAACTCGAGTGCAAGACAATGTCTATTGTGCTTGTGTTGCTTAATGAAAATCACTCGATTTCACGCATTGCCTGGGATTGGATAGTTGATTTGTCAATGGGTAATCAAAGTGATCTTTTGTGATCTGATTTTCTTTCCAAATAATTGTTGGGTTTCTATGCATGCAGTCGTACATAATCAACGAGGACAAAGTGGTGCTCATAAGTCCAAGATCTCCATCGGAGACATCGGAGCAACCCAAGAACTGCCGTTCGTGCGCAGCTTGCGGCGTATCCATCCAACGCTCGTCTGATACGTACTGCTCCATTGCTTGCAAGGTACGTAGTTCGGTCGCCAAGTATGTGTACACAACTGTGACTCGCCAAAACGTATTATATCATATGTTGCGGAAATTAGATTTAACTCGATCATCATAACGACAAATAGAATGTGATTTTATTTGTTTTATTACTAGCTGTTGGTTGTGCTTTTTATTTCTTTTTGCCTTACTTAATGTTTGTTTTCTATTCCATGTCCATATTTTATTGATTTACTAAATTTCTCCTCCTGCTTTCTCTTCCATTTTTGTTTATGTTGGAAATTTTCTTGCATTCCATATCTCTTGTACAGTGATCTTATTCCATTGGATTTTAGCATCACCTTCTTTCATCGAGTGACTCGGCCACTTTTTAAGGTGGTAAATGGGTGGGACTGAGTCGGGTTGGGATCAGATCATAAATAAGTCGACCCGTTTTTACTTATTTAAGTTGTATCCATTCATAGCCCATGCCCACCTATATATCCTATTTCCACTTAATCATTAGATTATATATGTGAATAATGGAAAAATAAAATTCAAGTTTAAAAAATATATATGAGAATTTTAGCACATTAAAAGAAATCAAAGTCGAAGAAATATTGTAAAACTTACAAATATGCAACTACGGGTCTGTGGTTCTTTCTAGACCACGGCAAGGTGGTCCCTGTCACCTTTGCCAAGGCGAGGTGGCCGTTAGGGATGGTCATCAAAGGCGACGATGGCGGCCATCATCAAGATTGTTTGCCTCCGGCCACCACCGTGATGTGGCCATTAGGGATGGTCATCAAAGGCGACGGCGGCATCCCTACTCATTTGCCGCTCTTTTATGATGGATTGTTTTTTCTTTTCAAGTTTTGATAATATTGGGTTGAAAATTGTTATGGTCCAAACACATCCAAACCTATATCTATTTGGGTTTTATTTTTTAAAACCCATTTCAACCTCTTTTAGAAAATTTTAGATAACTCATTTAACATGGTTCAGAAAATATGAGTTAAAAATTCTGTCATACTGGTTTGAGATTTTGTAAGACTTATCTGCTAGCGCAACGACTCGGATGTTAATTTTGTGTGATTAGAGACGTATCCAAAACCCAACTTGTCTTGGCCTGCTCCAGATTCGGGGGTAAAGAAGCTCGTGCAACTGCAAATGTTAGAATGTCGGACTAGGTGGAGCAGTTGGAAACCATCTTGTGACATCTCCCACAAGCCTATAACTAGGCTTTGTCATTTCGACTGAGCCCCTTCATGAACGTAAGATCTAGCGACCCCCTTCATGAAGATATTAGCGACATGTTTCCTCCGTCCTAGTAACCGCGGATCACCCTCCGCGACACAATACATGCGGAACGCGTTTATCTCAATCGAGTTTTGGTATAACCTCGTGTGCATGCGTTTGGAAAGTTACTATCTTGACGATGGAAGTACAATAACAAAAGGTAAACCGCATCGACGGACCTGATGAGGTAGTTTGTTTATGGCTGTTTCGAGGAACTGCGCAGGCGTCGTCGGAGCCGGCGGACCAGCAAGAGAAGGCCGCCGACGAGGGCTCTCGGAAAGAAAGCAGCACGATCACATTGCACAATGGAAAGGAGGAGTCGAGCAGCAGCCACGAGAATGCTGGTAATGCTCGGAGCGGCGGCGACGAGCCGAGGCGGTCGTTCAGGCCGAGACACCGCCTGTTGAAGAGGAAAGGGATTCCTCACAGGGCTCCCTTCTTTTGACCGGGAGAACCTCAAAGTTTCCAAACCACGAGCCGATCTAGCAATATGCTTGCTGTTTGCTTTTGCAGCTCTTGTTGTGTTTTCTTTGGTTTTAGTTGGTCCAGTTGGATTTAGAGGCCCATTGCTTTGAAGAAGCGAAGGTGGGAAAGGTCGGAGTCCTCGTGTTTTTTTTCGTCTTTCCATTTGAATCCATTCAGTTCAATTGATGGCGGGCACGGATCTAGATAATTCTTCTAGCTGTTGCAAAATTCGGTCAATGATCTTTTTAGTACTTGACGTAGTATCGTTACGCTTAGAATCGCAGTGAAATTCTAAAGCGCTACTAATGTACTGTATCATAAGGTGATATAATCAGTTTTCATTGGTAGATGAACCAACTGCTTGCCTTGCGCATTTGTACAATTTTTATTGCACTTGGTAATCTATTACTGGATACTAGATTTGAGAATATTTAAGATGTTATTTCGCGGTTAAGTAACAATTTAATTGACCGGTCCTCCCGTAAAATTTCGATGCACTTTTGATAAACTCATTATTTCCGACGATGGATTATGAGCTATCCACTGGGTCCACCTGTAAGATGTTAAAATACTTGATAATGTAATACTAGACACTAGTCTTCGCGATGCAAAACTGTTTTCGCAGTGGTAAATTACTAATTAATAAACGGGGCTCACACTTCGTAACCTATCACTAGATGTGGCTGTGAAAACATTATTGTTTAAATAGAATGTTACTAACTACTTGCCTGGCCCGATTGTTGAGTTTTTATGGCACTTAGTAATATACCACCAAATATTAGATTTCAAAATGGTGAAACTAGCTTGTTCTTCGGTACTAATTGGTTGACTAGTCCACTTATCAATTTTTAGAATACTGGGTAATCTGCTGTAGATGTTAGAGCAGTAAAATCATTATCTTGTTGGCAAGCCATGGACTCATATTTTAATGTGAAATGCATTGGTAATGTACTACAGGATATTAGATTTGAAAATAGTAAAATTATTCATTTGTTGGTAAACCATAAATAGTACACCGGACAAAGAAAAGTTTCCAGTCGCGAAACATTGTTCCGTCTTTAGGTGCACGGAACACTACTTGTCCTTAAAAAAAGTTCATAATGAGGCCGTCAGCTTATGAAAGAACTTCTTGCGAAGCAATGGCATTGGCATGGGGTTCCCCGATTTGTTTTGTCACTCCTTCCCTCTCGATGCAGATAACACTTGACGGGTTATGGGCTTTTGAAGTCCACAATCCCGTTTGATGAGTTGAAAAACCGTTTGTGGATTTTTCAGTAATAATACAGATGTGAGATGTTTATACGTATACTTATCCAAACGGTGATCGCAGATCTGTCTCCCCTTTTAACTTTTGAAGTTACATCCAGATCAATGGTGATGAGGATGACGAGTAAATGCGGCTTTAGGTTGGTGAGTTTCTTGTATAAAGATAATTTTCCAATCCTTCCTTTCATGTGTTCCTTTACCTGAAGGCAATAGGAACAAATACAGGATGCAAAACGCATTAAATAGCAGACAAAGGGAAAAGTCTTATCATTTCGAAGCCACAAAAGTCAAAAGCAGTCTATCTTTATGTTGATGGAGACCCACGCTGCTTTCAAATCTGCCACTAACCGATCAAAATTGGCAGCTGCGAAATGATGTAAGGAATGTGCAACGGTTGTTATTGAGACCATTAAAACAGAATAAAAGAATTGTATTTCATCTAATGTATTGCCCACTCGGGCTTCAGACATAATGAACTTCTGTAGTATATGAAAAGAATGTTTTTTAATCAATCAATTTGTATGGATATAATGGAAAGCAGAGAGTTTAATTGAACATAAGGCTGATTTACGGCGTCGCTAATCTGCTACTTCTGCAATGTACTTTGCTACCCACTGCAAGCTCTGCCAAGATTAGAGCACACTGTGTCATTGGTTTTAATTGAGATGCTGAAAATTTAAGAATAGATTAAACATAATGTGTCATGGAGAATGCTCTAATGCTCTGATGGGTGCATCTTTGCAAATTAGAATGTCACATATGCATGGCGAAGTGATGTGAGAGAAAGAAGTGGGCTGAACTCGACTAATTATGAACCCATAGACATACCTCTATGCATCTCACTATATCATCACCTTCTGTTCCGAGATGAGTCTGTAAAATCAGAAGAGTATTAAGAAGGTAGAAATGAATGTAATCAATTCCTATATTGGATCAGTCACTCAAAGTGCAATGCCATTAAATTTTCTCTGACAAACAAGAAAACTGTAAATGATATAATAAGACACGGAGAATCCTCGCCAAAGCAGATGATGTTTCATTGTATCATGTTCGGCTAACTTGCGGCATATTTAAAAAGCTTTGGTGCCTCGAGCGACAATTTAGCTATTGAAGTCTTCAAAAAACACTGGTGCTTAAACATGTCACATTCATCCAATGAAGCTGCTTTAAGACAGGTTTACTTACCTGCATGACTCGCTTGCAGGATGCATCTTCCACTGATGCCAGGATGACCAGCGCAGCTGCAACTGTGGAAGGCCAGTAGGACAGCTGCTCATGGTCTAGCAGAGCTAAAGCTGCCAAGTTTATGGCCCTCTTATTCACTCTAGCATCAGCTCTTGCAGCTCTTGAGTAGAACCTGCAATCGTTTCTTCATATTTCAGTGATATTCAGCAAAATCACTTTCTTTACACAGATTATTCAAGTGATTGGAATTTGAAAAGTCTCAAAAGTGGGTCCAACACATGAAAACACGCAAAATGAAGAGAAAAGAAAATAAGTCTGCCGGTCGAGGTTGCGCAGACAAGATATGGACTGTACCATAAGAAGTTGTGCATGGTAGGCAATGCACACTGAAAGTTGAGAACCTCTAGTACCAACCACTCCATTGCCACCACTTCGCATCTGCTGTAGTTGTCACTCCCCACACGGAAGTTCTTTTGTCTTACGCTGAAATACCAGTACCATTTGCATCTGTTAGGACTCAGCATAACCCAATTGGGTGTCTATCATCCACAAATGAGTTATGCAGTGGAGTGATTGTAAGTCACTACTGGCAACTCGGACATAGTGAAGGTTGAGATGATTGGCAATTCCTTTGCGATGGGAAACCTTTGAATTTGTTCATGATGTATTTCCTAACGGTCTGCTACATGTAACTGAAATTACCCAATTCCGTGAACATTCTAAATGTGGTGTTGTCTTAAGTTATGGCGAAATGATTGCTGGGAGCTGGGCATAAGTAAAAAGGAGATTTGTAAAGATCGAGGTCTTGAGCATCTTTACATTTGCTAACCGAAAGGCCCAAAGCAATTATTGGCTTCTAAGGAGGGCTTTGATTGGCATCCCTCTATATGAAGACGAAGGTAAGAAATCTAATTACCTGTTGTAAGGTTGATTCTCCTCAATCCTGGTGGCTAGGGTGAGACAGGCTATTCCAGCAATTTGAAAGTTCCTTCGCTGTTTGAAGTATCCTTTACTAAAGAATCTGTCAAAGAGGCTCACCCCTAGAAACAAAGTCTCGTTGTGGAGCTCTCTTGCAGTAGATTGCTGTTGACATGGAATATCAAACTTAGAAGAGGTCAAAGGAAGGTCCACAGAAGGATCCATGTAAACATATAGGCATGACGTGTTGTCCAGCTTGAAGCAATCTCTTATGTACAGGCATGGATCTTACAGTAAGGAATGTCCGCGGTTATCTGTATGTCATGCGAAAGTAGTTTTTTTTTTTTTTTATAACCGAGGTGTCCGGGCCAGCTTGTGCGCACCTCGACTATTCCTCGGGGGAGACTAGCACAGCAACCCACCGCCATGGCCCCCCACTTAAATCACAAGTGCTTAGCTGGGGAATCGAACCTGGGACTAGTGCGCCTAATCACACAATCCCGAGTACGCCCAAACCAACTGAGCTACCCATGGGTGGGTGTCATGCGAAAGTAGTTTCTACAAGCAATATATGCAAATTATAAATGGATCTCAACATATCAATGCAATAATATCGGAGAGAAAGAGGAAGAAGAGCCCTTGAATTCAAACTCTATGAAATTGCATTGGCCAATCCGATGTGTGCAAAGCAAAACATCTTAGCGTCTTCTACAAAACAATCGTGAATTGATATGGCATGTCTTGGCCATCGACATGTGTATCTAATTAAAGATGAGGGTGGAAAACGTGGACCTAACTGACTCTGCGAGTAACTCACCTCAATTATCCAGTGAACCATTCGTGTCCTTTCCTTGAGCACGGGCTCACCGTATTCCTCGACGTAGTTCCGCAAGAAGACTTCTCTCCTCTCTCTGTTTCTCAACAGCTGGTAGCTCTCCGCATCCTCCTCGTCGCCACACCCATGCTAAAATTCAAGTTTCCAAAAACAATAATCAAATGCAAAATTTCAAACGATGAAAATCGTACGCGCCGTACAGTAACAGCTTACATTTACTTGGGAAATGAGACTCCAAGCTTTGCGGTTGTCTGAACGGGTACTCGATCTCAAAAATTGCTCCCTGTACTGGATGAGCAAAGAGAAGGTTGGAGAAGGATTCGAATCTTCATCTGATTTCTCGGAGAACTCAGGTCCAGATTCAGAGGAAATCGACAGAATGTACTCGGAGGAGTATTCGTCCGAGTTTTCCTCGAATAGCTCCTTTTGTAGCTCGGAGAATGAGTCGAGATCGAGATCAGAAGAGTAGTCCGAGATGCCGTCGTACGGGATTTGCTCTGTGCAGGCGAGGTCAGCGTCGTAATTGATGTAGCTTGGCTTTTGATCGACAGTCGATTCCGACTTTGAAGCGGGTAAACAACCGGCGACGTGATCTTTTGACGTTTCGGAGAAGATCTCCGACGATGCTCTGTTCTCATGGCATTCGACTGCAAGCGTGTCGTCCTCCAATTCGGCAAATCGGAAACCGCTAGTTGCCTTAGAGCACAAGTCAACGAAAGACGGACGAGAGACGACCTCATTTTCAGCATTTCTGTTCCTCGACAATTCGCTGGAGAGCTCACCGGACGTCGCCGGCTCATGCTGGTGAACGCAAGAGATCTCCGACCGCGCGATCGACTCCGAAGCCGCATTCTCTCTGAATTCCTCCAAACCGCGGCAGGCTCCGGTGTCCTTCAACTCGGAGCTCTCCTCTCTGGAATCGACCTCGAAAGACGAACCGGAGCACGTCTCCGACACCGAGGCCTCCGCGACAGCTCCAGCAGCTCCGCCTTCGCCCTCCGCCCGCCGCCTGCACGACGGCCTCGCCGCTCTCCTGAGCTCGCAGTCGCCGCCTCCGGCAGCAGCATCCGATCGCCGCTTCCGAGTGCTCCCGACGGAGGCTTCGCCGTCCAGGTAGCTGGAATCCACGGAAGCGGAGATGGTGGAGTCGCGCGAGAAGCAAGGAAGGGGAGAGAACTGCGACCGCCTCCTCTGGGGAAGCTTCGACCGGAGCATCCTGCGTATCGGCGGCGGCGGCGGCTTCATTTCCCAGCGGGTTCCCTATCCGGCTCGGCTCCCGCCGTCGTCGGAATTGAACTCTGTCGAACTAGTTCGAGCTTCGAGACAATGCCGTGTTACGAGTTTGGTGATGGAGGACGACTCAGAGAGAGAGAGAGAGAGAGAGAGAGATTGGTTATGGTTTTATGGAATGTTGTGAAGTGATCGCAGTGTAGTGAGGAGGAGGAGTAGCAGAAGAAGAAGAAGAAGAAGAAGGAGTAGAAGAAGAGGCGGTTATGGGAGTTCGGGGAGTGTGGTTTTACGTGGGTTTAATGTGGGGGGTGGGAAGTAACCAAACCATCACGTCGTGAAGGGGGACGCGATGTAGTGGATCGCTCCACATCTCCTGCGCTGAACTGCGGGATAGACCGCGGCCGTCGATATGATCGACTCGGTCATCGTGCGGCCCGCACTGGCCCGGGACGTGGGCCCCACAATGATATCGGGAATTGGTCAGGAGCCGAGATGATTTATGTGTTGCCTGGCTTTATTTCATGAAAAACTCAATACGAAACGTTTGGAATAATATTAGCGGACGGAAAATATTTCGATCATCCATAATAAATTCCGTCTAAGTATTTTCGCGAGCGATGAAAATGTTTTTCATTCATTTTAATAAGTTATGCAAAGTATTATTTTTCGGAAAACATTTTTTAATTCTTTTTCTTCTCGAAAAATAAGTTTACCGGTTATCGAGTTGTTTTTGAAGTGGTTGTGCGGAATGCTCTCGTAATGGCAGTGCTGCAATTTCCGCCAACATGACGGGCAACAGATTTGCATGTGAGAGATAGTCGGTCTTGCCTTTTCGTCGGAACATATAGTATGGGGAGGCCAAATCGTTTCCCCTTCCTGCACATATAACTTGTTGCCGATATTTTTCTTTCATTTGACGGATTATTCTCGCCATCTGCACGATCAGCTTCAACGTCCTGCAAATTTTACCAACAGTAGACTAGACTCGCCCCCCCAAAAGTTGCCAAAGAAGCTTCTGCTTCTTCCTTTCTCGAATTCCCGTACGTGAGCCATTTCACTGTTCAGTTCGTCATCACCTACCGGCCATTCAAACTCCCCAACGACCCGACCCGACCCGACGCGGTGCTGCTTTGGGCGCACGGAGCTCCACATCATCCGTCGCCTTCGCCGCTTCGCTCCTGCGTCGTCTCCAAGGCGAGATTAGGTCGAAATTCTCGCGTCGGAAGACGAATCTCCGGTCCGGTCCGGCGCCGTTCGCAGATTTCCCCTCGCGCGAGCAGCGATCGATTCGTCTACGCCCGCGCGACCTTTGGATCTGGGACATGATTGCGATCGGTGCGCAATCGCGGTTCTGATTTCGGAACTCGCTCTCTAGGGTTGAATTGACTCGATAATGGGCTTGTCGTCGGTCGCGAGCAGCAGCGAGGCCATGCGGTTGTGCATCTTCGACCTGAGGAGAGGGCAAAACGAGGGGCAGGAGCTGGACAAGATCCTCTTCTTCTATCCTGCCGATTTGCCCTTCTCCGCCCAGCTCTCCGTCATTGGCCTGAGCGAGGGCCTCATCACCTTCACGAGGTTGGGCGACAGATCCCCTTTGCGAATTCTACATGGAGTGGCGTTGAGTAGTTTGATCACCCCCACTTTGTTTTAGTTGTCGAGTGCTCTTTGGCTTTGTTGAAAGTTCGTTTTTTTTTTTCGTTTGTTTCGTTGATCTGTTGGGGTTAGTGGAGTGAGCTTGCTTTGTGTTTGTTCTTTTTGTCGGGTCAAAAGGATTTTCTCTCCCGAGGCTGCTTGCGAGGTCATTGAAGCAGAGAGGCACTCTCATGTGTTCTTCGAGGCGGAACCGGATATTTGGATGGTCATGGTGCGTTTTCTGTTCCGTCTCTTTTTACGCTCTCGCATCTGAAAGCGTCGATGTCTTTCGTTCTTTACCCTTGATTATGCTTTTCTTCTTCTTTTTGTAAGATTGTTGAGAAGAACAAGGAAGCAGAAGCGATTTGGAGAGTCGACGCCTTGAGAAAGGTCCTGAAGGAAGTCCACTCTCTTTTCTTGATGTTCCATGGGCCTATAAGGTCATTGCTCGAGAAGGAACCGGCTGCGGGATTGGTCAGATCTCAGTTGTACATATTCATCATGGATTATCTTAGTGGTGAGTTTTTTTTGTGTAGTATTTTGACCATAGTAACGTTCTTAATTTAGCGTGCAAGTTATTTCCGAGCATCATATTATCTATCATTAGTTCAAAGTATTTCATCGTAAGTCACTAATTGTCAGCATTTGAAAAGCGGTCTCCATTGGATTACTGCTGCTGGGGTAATGCGAAGTTTGCTCTATCAAATGGTCACCTTTGGATTTCTGCTACTCCACTTGTGCTGAAGCTGCTGTTTCTGGCACCTCACACATGAATTTTCTCTTTGAGGCAGATTTTCTCTCTTCGAAGAAACTCCAATTACCATCATTCCGTGATTCTTTGAAGGAGCGTGGAACTGTACAGATGCTGACCGTAGGACGTGAGGCTGCAATAGAAGTTCAGGTAGGTTTTGTATAATTTTCTTATTGCACGATTCTCTGGGGAATGTAGATGCCAGTTTAACTTGATTCTTATTGACATGGCGCATTAATACTTTTTCATTGCTGACCATGATGCACTGTTGGGAATTAAAGGGCCTTCTTAATGCATTGACAAATTGGGCAGCTCCTGTAATGCTTGGTTATTTCTGCAATTTTTGCTATGCATACATTCCCGGTGGTGGATTCTCTCAAATAGTTGTACTGCTGTTTTGTCAGTCGCTTGTCAGGGTTGTAGAATCGTGCACTGGAAGCCCATCATGCCACTCGTTGCTCTTGTTTCAGGACCTTCTAGTTTCTACGACACTTTCTCCAGTATGTTTTAGCTGTAAAGCTTATTTCAATTTTCTGTTTTTCCATAATCCATTTTTATGCGGCTCTTTTGTCTTAAATTTGACAATACGGTGTACAGTAAATTTCTATCTTAACCTAGCTGTCATCATTCTCCTTTTTTCTCAGGACGACACCATCAATCTATTTACATATGCTGTTCTAAGATTGACTCCCCGTGCTCTCTCTACGGGGTCAAGCTCCTGGTCCTATCTACGTAAGGGAAGTACTGCATCTGCTGCTGCGACAGGGCCTGCTGTGGGAAGCGCAACTTCTCTTTCAGAACCTTTCCACGGTTCACGTGGTACCTCCACGGGTGATGATCACAGTCATGCCATGAGACCTCTGCAGCATGATAGATGGTCCAAAGGAAAGGATGGTTTTCTTATCACAGATATCTGGCAAGCTGAGCCTGAGAGCTTAGTTTCTGTCACCCCATCAATTTGGCTCCAGCAGACCGAAGAGAAAATGTATCTCTGTGCTTATCAGCACAAGAGCGTTACCTTAATCCTTCTGATTCCTGTGTCCTCTGTCATTAATGGGGAACAAGGCATTTTAGCAGTGAAGCAGCTAGTTTTCGAAAATGTTAGTCTTCCACTGATGTCTGTTTTAGCTGTTGTTCTTATACTGCTATACTTCTATATGAATTATGGGTGGCTAGGCATTTCAAGGTTAACTTGCATTGTGATATGCTTTTTAGGATGGCATAGTTAATCTAACAAATTAGGGGTTTTTACTGCCATTAACATTATTTCACATCTTACCTTACCACAAAAAAAAAACATTATTTCACATCTTCATATTTTGTGGGTCATCCTTGTTCATGGCTGGACAGTTTCTGGCGCTGTTTTATGTACTAGTTATTTAGTGTGAATTTCCCATCATTCTTGTGTAGCCGCCACTCTATATTTACGTGTTTTTATTGTGAGTGTCAAATTCTAGTCTACCGAGTCGTTTTGTGTTCATGCTTTGTAAACTAAGCATCTAACATATCTGTGATTCTTATTTTCTGCTATTGAAACTTTGAAGTTCAGAGCTCCATAAGTTTTCCTAGTTTGTGTTGGGTTAATGTTCCTCTCTGGAGGTATGATGGTTGTCTACATTGACATGCTGCATTGGACTCTGTGATCTCATTGTTATACACCACCATATTCATATTCTTCCATGATAGACAAAGCTGGACACAGTAAAGGAACCATGATGTCGTTATCTACTTATTGGGTTTTGTACTTTCTTCACGAATCATTCTCTGCAAATAGCATGATCACCTTACTTAAATGCCATTTGTTTAGCATTCGATGTGATTGACTTTTGTCAACTTGTGTTTGCTGATTTGGTATCTTTCAGCAAGGATTAGATATAATTTACTGGAAAAGTACTTGAACTATCTGTCTTTTACTCCTTAGAGAATTATCAGCATCAGGACTTGTCCCTCTGTCAGTATATTGAGCGCTGGAGCATAATTCGATATACACATCTTTTATCGATGTTACTTCCATGGGTCCAGTAGGTTGTGTTTGCAAACGCATTCCGTCATATTTTAGTATTCTCAGTTCTAGGTAAATTTGGATTGAGTGGGAGGACAATGCTGAAAATGACAAAAGTCATCTTGAATCTTCATGTTGGTCTCAAAGACCATTCCTTTAGGAATTAGAGAATTCATGCCTTTCTTATTGGCACTGACTCTGATATGTGAGTTGTTTCATGGACGACTTCTTTGTATGAATATTGTCCAGTTTCTTCACTGAGAAAGAGATTCCACCGGAAAAGGGTTGATGAGAATCTAAAGCATTTACATCTAGTGATTTTTCCTTACTGCTGCTAGTCCACCTACCAAAGGCTTGAGGAAAGCTTCTTGCTTTCATCCGTGTGCCATATTTGACTTCCTACTCTCCATCCATTTGCTAATTATTTTTTTTTTCCTGAATTGTCAGGCATCATTGAAGATGTTGAAAGTTGAAGAAAAGCTTTCAAAAGGATGGGGTGGTGAGAATGCATACCATGTCAGTGGGTACCGTTATTTGCTTGTAGATGGTGACAGAAACTTATCCAGGGCTTCACCGCCAGGCAAAGTTACTACGCTAACAAAGGTCAATTGCTGTAACTGTTTATTTTTGTGTATGGTCAATTTGTTGGAGATAACTTTACCCTAAGAGGCTAGCCTTTGCTGATAACAAATATAATCTCTTCCTGGGCTACTTAGATTATCATCCGGAGCTCTAATTCCCTATAAAGGGCAGGACTCGGGTAGTTGCATCAATAGATCATCAGTATAGTGCATTGACCAGAGTGCTTGGTGAGCTATATATAACTATGCAAGGATTTTCTTATTCTAAGTATGCATATTATGGAGCCTCTTCCACGGTACAATATTTAATCCGACTTTAAACTTCCTTGGGATCATAAGCAATTTATGTTCTAGGTGTAACTTCGGTGACAAATACTGGAGTCTGCACCATCAAGAGAGTGCAGTTCAGTTAGCTAATTCTTGATGTGTTCTCTTACATCCAAATTTTGTCATTTGGGACTACTTATGATTATCATAAGAACTAAATTTTTTTTCTAAGGAAGCAATTTATGGACCCTCTCCCTCAGACCAGATATAATATAACTTTAAAGTTCCTTTGGATCCTACGCTATTTATGTTCTCAGTGTGAACGAACGAAAATCATCCTAGTGAGATTGCAGTTCAATTAGCTAAGTCATGAAGGTTCTGTTATCTCCTTAAGTATAAGTGCACCTACGTTATATGGCACATGCCCATTTAGCTAGCATTTTTCCTTTTTTTCTTTTTGGGATGGGAAGTAGCTACTGAACTATTATCACATCTACTATATGTGGCATGTTCCCATTTAGCATTAGGAATATGCTTTTTTTCCCCTTTTATTTTTTATTTTTGGGAGGGGGACGAGGGGGATTTTGAAGTTAAGTTCCTTTTTTCCCAGTGGCAGTTTTGCAAGGTGGAATTCTGGCTCCTCTAAAATATTTGTGTTGTATGCTTCAGAATTCAATTGCAATTCATAAAGCTAGAATTATTCTGAGATGAATTTCTTTTGCAGGATTCTTTGCTTACATTGAGTAAGCTCAGAGAAGAGGTTGACATAGAAAAAAGCAGGGCAAGATGGGATAATGATGGTCATGAGAAAGATCTTGAAATATGCACTAGGGCTAGAAACAATGCATGGGTTATCTCTCGTGTTACAAGGGGAAAAGAGCTTTACATGGTTCTTGAGAATGCCAACGAGACCCTTCTTTATGCCTCTGATGCTGTTCAGAAGTTCAGCAACAGGTAGTGTCGCTTATGTTTTCTTTGAAATTGTGCTTTTGCCATCCTGCCAGGGGACATATAATCCCGAGACTGTTATCTTGAAAATTGTCAAGAGTAGTTCAAATGAGAATAATATGGCTTTACATAAGCCTAAAAGGAGAAACTCTTCCCCTTTTTGTCTACTTTTTGCTAATCTCATTCTATTTTCGATGTTCTCCAACTAATTATGGAAAACTTGGATTAAACCTCCTAAATCAACTGAACTTCTTGCACGGGCATTTTTTCCATTGAAGCTCTCAAAAAGTAACACTTCTTGGGACAACTTATTTATTGAATTTCTGATACTAACAGAGTTTTACGTGTTCCCATTTGAGTTTACTGTTTATCTTGGCTCTTTTGACATTTTTTCAGATGACTGAAGAAAAAGTTAAACTTAAAAAAACTTCCTTTCCTTGACCATCTGTTTGTAAATAAGCCAGGTACTGCAATGGAGCCTTCTCCTTGGATTGAGAACATTCAGTTTTGCACATTTGGAGCAATTTCAGCGGAATGATGCAAGAAATTATAAATATCCCTTGCTTATACATTTACCTGGAGAGCAGATGCAAGGTACAGGTGCCCCTCCTCTGTACATCACTCTCACTTCACTGTAGCATAGGAAAAGCTAATTATTGTAATTTGCTTTCTTCCATCTTGCTGTGCTATATAAAATTTTGGCTGTTATGCTTTTAGACTTTGGGATTCTTATCCTGAGCAGGTCATGTTGAATTCCTCTGGACTGTGACCCTGAGGACACATTATTGTGCTTTCTTCAGATGAAAGGGTCACAATGTATTTGAGCAGTAGGAGGCATCAGTACATATTTTCGCCGATCTACATGATGTTTACTGTTTAGTTTTAGTAAGCCTCATTGCCTTTTGTGACATCTTGTGTAAAAGTTTTTTTGTTCTTCTATGTGAATATCTACTCAGCGAAACGAAAATTGCATGGTAGTACTGCTTCAACTGTTTGTAATGTTTTGCTTAGATAGGATTGGATGTGAAATGTCGCAAAATGGCACGATAACAGCCGAAGCCGCCGGACTGGACACCAAATCACGTCATGCTCAGGCTTCAGTAATTGTCCTATGCCATTGGTGGAGATGAGAGAATGATTCTACCATCGTCGAACGTCTATAATTAGGCCATGAGCTGATGAATAAACTTCCTGGAAGCATATCCATTACCGTGGGGTTCGGCGATCTTGTTTGGTTATTTCTACCCTCGTCGATGCAGACAAACTTAGGGGCTATGGATGTCCGATTTCAGTTCCAACCGGGCGCGCGCAGACAGCGAAAGAGAGAGAGAGATCGAGGGAGATTTTCTCCTTTTCCCTTCAATTTGCGAGATGAATATCTGCGATTTCTTTTGTGTTCGCTCTTTTTAAAATTCAAAATTGCCAATAATATGCGCACGCGATGTGCCCTCGATGCACATCATTTGTATAACTTTTGTTCTCTCTTTTGTCGTTTGGTTTGTCTTAAATATCAGAACTTACCTCGAACATTTGAGAACCCAAAAAAGAAAAAAAAAACTTTAAACAGTTACGAAAAACGAATGTTAATAATTTCACGAATTTCTTTTTTTAATCGTGCTCGAATTATTTCAGGTGCCCCGTGTTGGATAAAAATAAAAAAACTTTCGAATTCTTGAGGAAAAACATAAATGCATGATTATGAAGGAAATAGTTCGTTTTAAATTTGTGCAAATTGAGTCAAAAAAGAAGCAGAGAAAAGGAAAAAGGGATCAAGCATCATGCTGGCTCCCCATCGCTTTCCAGTTTCCAAGAAGCGAGGGGGGCATCTGGTCTGGAAAAAGGACAGAATGACACGCGCAAGCGGTCCAATAATTTTCGAGCTTTGCCAGCCAATCGTACCCTCTCTTTTTTTTTTTTGGACGTACGTCTCTTTAATTAATTTAGGTGCGTGTGGACGACACACGGTTCATCATTATGGTCAGACGAAATGGACCCTATCTTTAATTTATAAGCCTAGAAAATTATTAACTCGCAAGGGATAATCGAACTGATTGATAACTTTCGATAAGATACGATAGATCTACTTGATTCTTGTCCCGTCTCTTCTAGATTGATTATCCGCATTAAAATTTTGTAATTCCCTCGTTTCATGTTCTTCATTATTCTTACTTATCGATTGTTTTAGCGTGGCATGATATTTCAAAAGCTGAAGAAAGGTTTGATCTTGATTTCATGGAAATGAGAATGCAAAACGATGCTAGTTTCACTCCGCTACGCCATTCTATGCATTACTTGCGTATCATTGACTCTATGGGCCCAAAACGATGCTAGATTCGTTATCAGACTGAAGTTCAAAGGACATCTCCTCTTGACCAATGCATGTTTGTGCACCAATTCCATTTAAAGAGCTCGACTAGTTTTCAATGCTTTCTCCCTTCTTTTCTCCCTTGGACGCTTGAAAATCCCCCCTGGGCAAAAAAAGCTATGAACGACACACATGATCGGTCATTCCTATCGCCTGGTGTCGAAAATTGTGTATCCGGATAGTTCTTCGAGATTCTAACCTGCGCATTATCATCGGATTCATGAAACACTCGATACATACCACGGGCTTTTCGTGGACGACCTGACATTCGAGTACAAACGAGTCTATAGCCGGATCAATCACGCCTGGTACTTCGATCAGCATCTTATCCGATGCATGAGGCTGGTAGATATATGTCGTGGACCTACCTAAAAAGCGTAAAGGTTGGCTTTACATATACGAATGTATATATCGAATTTGGACCCACAAAATGTGGATGAGCGGGGCCTGTGTCTGACATACGCCCAAAAGCGACATGTGAATCCGACGAGCGACCACGATGCCGTGCAAAGGGAGCTGACAAAAGCAGCACGGAATCTTATGCATTTACAAATCTTGTCAACGTGAAAGGCAATCATAACTTTATATTATCTCCGTATTTTCGCCAGGCCCAGGCAAGTGGTGAAGATATCGTTCACATTCGGGATGACTGTTCGAAAAGTTTAAAGCTTATTGTATGGAGATGATTACGAGGCTTTCAATTGTACTGATTTAGTCCTCAGCCTTTCTAATCATTTGCCAATTTGGTCATTCCGATCGATTCTAGTTGGAAATCGGTGACGCGAATGCCAGCCGACCTGCGTGGCTTGGTCGGCGCTAACGTGGATGATTTTCGAATTTCTTCTACCGTCCGCGAAGGCCGACCGACAGACACATTGGCAATTTTCGATCAAAATTGGCCAGAAGAGCTAAATTGGCAACTAATATTGAATCGGTCATCATACAAAAGGTATAGGAATTTTTGGACAATTTCCCCTTTCACATTCATTTTGTCAAACATAGTGCAAGCCGTGCCTCTTAAACATGCATGCACAAGATACAGAGTAAATTACTCAAACAACCTTAACCCTATTGTATGGATGTCAATTCAGTCCTAAACTTTTCAATTTTGCTAATATAGTCTTGAACCTTTGTGTGAAATAATCATTGTAGTCTTTTCGGTCAATTTTCGCTGAAAATTACACAACAATTTTAAGACTGACTGGACAATTTCTCCCAACATATGGGACAATTCTTGCTCACAGAAATTTTCAAAATTTATTTATACCAAAACCCAAGAAAGGCACATGCTTCAATTTTCTAAATTTTAACAAAGATAGAGTACCAATGGGGCCTATCTTTACCATGAGATCGTCTTCACCGCAAGAAATGTAAACGAAGAGCACTGGCTGCGGATTGCGAAGCAGAAAGTGAGACGAATTGGTCATATCATATGCCAAAAAAGAACATTCTTTATGTAAACAAAAAGCCATGCTTAGGTACTCTTTGTCACTATTCCTTAATCTATAAAGCATTTTTTTTATTTGCATTTGGAAGTAATAAAAATCTATTTGAGAAAATTAGCCCTTCTATTTGTATGATAATCACATGATTCCGGGAAAAAAAATAGCTTCCATAAGAATAATGTGTGAGGTCAAGATTTAGAAAGGAGGAACTAGGTTAGTGGAAGGAGAAACATACAAGTATCATACAAATAAAAATAAGAAATACTAGCTTTTAGTCGACAGCCAAATCTCGGTGCCATCACTTTTCCTTCCTATGTTGCCGAGCACGCTCAGAACGGCACTTCGAATCTCCAATGGCACCTATTGGATGAAAACTCGACAAGGGTTGAATTTGAGTACCGATCGAAAAATCGGCGCTTTTCTCATGAGACATTAAAAAGTTTAGGTTAGAATTAAGAACTCGAATTAAAGTCGGTGTATTTTCGTGAGATAAAATAAAATTTGACTACTTTTGAGGTACGTTTTGAGTATATCCAATTTAAAAGTCTTTTGGATGAGAAGGCGTGTCTTACACACGCCCTAGGGCTTCCCATGTGAAACTCTGACCGATGATGATTGATGACGAAGGGATGTCGTTGGAAAACGACGAAATCGAGCCAAAGTGTACATAGCTTTTTCCAGAAACAATCTACGGCGGCCGAATGTACAAGAAGACAAGTACACCCGTCACATCGACCGTACACTTACCCTACTTTTTTCTTGGAATCTCCGCAGAAAACTCTCTTAATGTGCAACCGGACAACCCATTCATTTTACCAACCTCCCAAAAGATTTAATTTAGGTTGTTTAATGGTTAATTAATTATTTTTAGTAATTCAATGTCCATTAAAGATGTTAAACGGGCCATTGTAAAGGAATATTAGGGAGTTGTAGCTACCGCCCTCACTCAAGATCGCGCGACCTTAGGCAAGCCATGTCTAGACTAGAGGCGAAGCAAATAAAGCAAACGAATCAATAACGAACAAAGCAGTAGGTATCGCCCTTGCCCAAGGTCATGCAATCCTAGGCAAGGAGACACCGGAGTCGCGTAATCTCAGGCGAAGGGTAAGCTCAGGTGCCGAATACAGGAATGGTAGAGAGCTAGACCTGGGAACAATGACGAGTTCAAGCGCAGCACTTGAGATACAATTCTCGGCGAATGCTAACGTGCCTACGTGACAATTGGCGACCGTCGGCAAGCCTCAATTTTCCAGATTTTGCCTTGACCCTCTAGACATGGCGAACCTCGATTCTTTAGATCTCACATCGACCCTTCAAATCCGGCTTGGCTGACTTGCGATCCCCGACCATCGACCCTTAAAGACACTCGACCCTGGCGATCGTCCCTCGACGACCAAAATTTGGAGCATAGTGCCCTTGGTTCAAAGATAGAGTCGACGAGTAGTGGTAGAGAGATGAACAATATCAATATTCAGGAGCAAAAAGGGAATACATAAAGTTGGTGTGGGCAAAATTCGAATAAAATTTTTCATTAATTATGGGCCCTAGTATTCCGAAAATGCTGGAATGCCCAATGCTGGTCTTTAGTGGCCTTGAGAGAAAGACCTTTGGCGGACTTCGGAAATGCATTGCATTTCCTGATTGAGCCTCCAAATTTCTTCATCAAAATATTTAGCATTTGTAGCTTAAAGGACTTTAGGATTATATTCCAAAACGGACCCCTAAACAACTAAACTTTCTTTTCGCTCTAGGCCATGTAATGAAAAACCTTGAAAACTCTCCACCCTTCTATTAGCCAATGCTGAACAGTTTTTTCATTATTAGTAAATAGGGTGAGAAGAAACGACTAGCACAATTGTCCTCTTTGAGTATTATCATAAGGATTTCATACTCTCCACATAATGTTCGGTTCATACCATAGTCACTAATTTCACCCGTAGATATACGAGCCCGCCATTGCATATGAGGTGGCAAATATTCAATGCACAATCTGTCAAAACGTCCCTCTAGGACACAGATTTGAACATGTTACCTCACGAAGACATTGTGATTTCTTTAACGCTGGGCTACCACGCTCGGTGGTGCCAATTTCGTTTTATGTGTGCTTGATGACGGAAACGCTAATATGAAAATGGTTATCAAAAGGCGTGCATCTGTCTCTTTTGTCCTTTTCTTCATAAAACCACGTTCTTTTCCTATAAAAACAACCCCAAAACCATCACCAGCTCTATTCCATTGCCCAAAGAGAGTTCAGCTTTCTCTCTGAAGTCTCCATTCTCTCTCTGTTCTTTTCCTATTTTAACATAGCTTTATAGCGGTCCATCAATGGCGGAAAATGGGCATGTAGACCTAGAGAAGCAGAGGCTGCTTCTGCAAGACCATGGGGAGAAGCACTTCATGTCCAGCGAGGTCGTCCGGGACATCATCATCGGCGTCTCCGACGGCCTCACCGTCCCTTTCGCCCTCGCCGCCGGCTTGTCCGGGGCTCAAGTGAAGTCGGGCATCATCCTCATCGCCGGGATTGCGGAAGTCGTGGCCGGTGCTATTTCTATGGGACTTGGAGGGTAATTATAACTATTCTAAATATGTTCATTGCAGTATAATTCCATGAAACGTTCATAGTTAGCTTTCTCTGTGAAGACATAGTTGGAGAAAGAGTTTCTAATTCATGTTACGGAAAAAAGAAAGGCTGCTTCGCTAATATTCTGGCTATGAAAATGACTATATTCCTAACAAGAGAACAACGCACGCAGGTATCTAGCGGCAAAGAGTGAAGCTGATCATTACGCGAGGGAGCTTAAGAGGGAGCAAGAGGAGATAGTCAATGTCCCTGACATAGGTCCCTCTCTCTCCCCCACGCTTTCATCTTTATCACTTGATTTTACTGCAAGTACTTTGGGAAAAGACTGATAGATTAAGCTAATCTTTTGAACGTTGAACTGCAGAGGCCGCTGAAATCGCAGAGATTCTCTCACAGTACGGTGTGGAGCCACATGAATACGAGCCCGTAGTGAATGCTCTGAGCAGGAATCCCCAAGCATGGCTAGATTTCATGATGAAGTAATTTCATAGTCAGTTCATCTAAAGAAATTTTAAACTTCAACCTGGGTTATCCTAATTAACATCTCGAGGCACACGTCCTGAACTTGATCCAGGTTCGAGCTCGGGCTCGAGGAGCCGGATCCACTGAGAGCCCTGTGGAGTGCGATCACGATAGCGCTTTCCTACGTCGCAGGCGGGACGGTGCCATTGTCGCCGTACATGATCCTACCGGTAGCCCAAGACGCCCTGATTGCGTCGGTCGTGGTGACCATAATCGCCTTGCTCGTCTTCGGCTTCATCAAGGGCTACTTCACCGGGAATCGACCCTTCAAGAGCGCTTTCCAAACCGCCCTCATTGGCGCAGTTGCGTCCGCCGCTGCTTTCAGCATAGCTAAACTCTTCAGGGAATGAACTCGTCCTCTCTTTTCGCTTCTTTGGGGTTCTGTTTGTGTCAATAAAGTTGGTTTGTAGTTTAACATCAGAGTCTCTAGTTTCTTTTGGTTTGATCTAGGGGACAAAATTGCCTCTTCATGATCTCCACCCAACTTGTTTGTATGTCATGCTTTGAGATTAAAGTTGAGTTGTGATAAATTGCTATTCTTGCTATGGGGTGACAATATTGTTGTACTAAGTTAAAAGATACATATAAGAAATGGAAAGATAATAAAGGAACTACTTCAAATGTTTCTTGAATCATATATGAATCATGTCCAAATGATTAGTCTATATTTAACTATGGCATACCACACCTTTCGAACTACCTAATCTCCATCATTGCACTCAAATTCAAACATCTAGCCCATGTATATTGGGTGAGACTCCACCGATAAATAATCGGAAAAATTGTCTACAAAGTCCAAATCCATTGTACGGCGGCCAATTCAAACCTAAACCATGCAATTGTACCAATTTAGTTATAAACTTTTTAACGATTTGTTAATGTAGTCATTCCAACCAATTCATTGAATGAAAATTGCTGATCTAAATGTCGGTTGTCTCACATAGCACGATCAATGCTAACAATAACAAAAAAATTGAAATTTTTTCTTTTATTTTTTTACTATTAAGGGCCAGTAGGGGTCACTAAACCTCTCCCAATGACCGGTAGGGGGCCATGTCAACATTGCTTTTAGGAAAAAGTCACAAAAAACTCCAAATTATGTCAACTGTTATACATTCACCCTAAACTTTTTTTGTGACATCAAAAATCCCAAATTGTGCCCACTATGACAAATTTACCCTAAACTTTTTCTTGTGACACAAAAAACCCCAAACTTGTACCTATGTGACACATTTACTCTTCTTCAAGATTCTATTAAGCCAAAACAACAGGCGTTTTTATTCCACTTAAGTCATGTGGGCGTCATGTCAATACTGTTTGCTTTCTGGAGTCTATATAGGAAAATTTAATCGGTTATCATTGACAGAACTTTGACGGAGGGTAAATATATCACACAGGTACTAGTTTGGAATTTTTGATATAACAGAAAAAAGTTTAAGATAGATGTGTCACATTGGCATAGTTTAGAGTTTTTGGTAGAGGTGGTAAATGGGTCAAGAACCTATATATTAACCCATAATTAATAATAGTTGGTTATAAGTGGGTTGTGTTTAGTTTTAAAAATAGACTTAAATGGGTTATTAATGGGTTACTTATTAACTTAATGGGTCTTAAATAGGTCTGTCGCGACCTCCCCGAACCGGCCCCGGCCGCCTAAGGGGTTAGGCTAATGGATTACTAAGTTAAACCTAGCTCGAGCTCTCCCAAGCCCATACCAATTCGCGACTTAAGTTTAAGTTGTTAACATGCAAATCAATTTCATCTAGGAGTCGCCACTAATCAGTTTTTGACAGGTTGATTAGACACCTAAGTAAAGCACGGGAGAAATGCTTCACTTCTACGAACCAGAGATTCAATGGGTACGGGGACTTGATTACACTAATTGACTAATTAGTGCCCTTTCGGTACCTAATCTTTGCTCAATTCACCACCTACGTGTTCACACTAATCGGGAGTCTCAAAATTCCATTCCTAACTAAGCCAAAGAAAGCAACAGTCAACGCCTAGACTTAACATGCATAATCAACTACGTGCAAGGTTAAATTAAACACGCAATTCGAAGTGTGTGAACCAAGCAACGTGCAATCAAACATGACACTAATCATACCATAGGGCAAAAAAAAAAATTCCAAAGTCTAAATAAATTTTTTTATTTTTCGAATTTTTTTAAAAAAAATTTTAATAATTTTTTAATGTTTTTTAAATAATTTTTAATATTAAAATAATAAAAATAACATAAAATCGGATCCGGGTCGAATCTCCACGTCCGACCCGGATCGGGACCGACCCGGGCGCACCGGCCCGGGTCCACGACCGGACCGGGTTCATTTATTGAGCCCGGTCTGGCAAACAAAATAAAGAAAAAAAAAGGGGCCCGGCCCGAAATTTTTTAGAAAAACAAAAGCCCAGCCCACTATAAATAAAGAAACTAACAACACTTCAGCCCAAATTCGGATTTTGGCCCACCCGCGAAAGGCCCAAGACCTAATAAAACACTAAAGCCCACACACTAAATAAAACCCTACCCGGTCAGACCCGCGACCCGACCCGGACGTGAGAGACCCTACTCGGTTCGCAGCCGCCACGCCGCGCCCAGGGACTCGCCTGAACACCGGCCACCGCCCAGGAACACCGGACGTGGAGCGCATGCCCGGTCACCGCCACACGCCGGCCGGCGTGGACGCCGGCCTCCCCGAGCCCCGGCCTCTGCGGCCGACGCTCCACCTTGGCCCGCATCGCCGCCCCGACGAGGGGCGGCGAGCGTCCTCCAGCCGGGTCGCCACCTGGCGACCGGCGACCACCTGGGACCGACCGGTCGAGCCTCGGCGAGAGGCTGGCAGGTCGATCGGCCGAGAACCGGCCAGATCCCGACGGGGGACTGGCCGCCTTACCTCACCTTGCGGTCGCGCCCGGACCGCCGCCCTACCCGCGGGCCTCCTCTGCCCGCGTCATCGCCGTGGCAACCAACTCCTAGCCGGGACCATCCGGCGTTCCAGCCCCCAAACAGAAAACGCAACGAAACAGAGACAGATTCGAGAAACGGTTCAGGCATATCATCAAACACCTTGCAAGCGTCGACGGAAGCGAGGGATTTCAAGCACGATTGAGGCTCAAACACATCCGAAATTCACACACAATAACACGCAGAGCAGTAGCACCGAGCCCGAGGTGTCACGGGCCGGAACTTGCGCAAGCCGGACGGCCGCGAGCTCCGGCCAGTGACCCCCCCAAAAAACTGAGTAAAAACGAAAGCAGGGGAGGCGGCCACGGTCCCTACCCGACTCGGCGGTGGCGAATGGAGGGCGAACGTGGTGGATCGGGCTGCACCTGCGCGCCTCGCACACCTACGAGCCGGGATCCTCGGGAGACCGACCCCGAATCGAACCCAAACCGAAACAAAACCCGGCGAGCGCTCGAGACCGGGACCTACCGTGACAGAGGATCGTCGGCCGCGGCTTGGGCACGGCGGTCGCCGGCGGAGGACCGACGTCTCTCTCTCTCTCTGGAACTCTCTCTCTAGGATCTCTCGGTTCTCTCTCTCTCTCTAGGATCTCTCTGTTCTCTCTTCACGACCAGATCTGGTCTTAAAGGACTTGGCCGGCACGTCCGCGTGGCCCCTGCTGCCGGCAGGCGCGCATGGCCTCTGCCACCGCCTGGCTGCCGCGGCCGGCCGATCTGGCGACCCGCGGATCGCGCTGCCAGCCCCCCTCGCGCCTCTGGCTCCTGTTCCGTCCATCTGTGGCGTTATGCCACTGTTCCTCCCCCGTACGTTCTGAAATGTTGACTGGGGAGGGAGAGGTGAACAGTGCGCGGGCCGGGCCGTGGGAAATGGGCCGGCCAGCGTGAAAATAGAAAAGAGAGCATGGGTCGCGCGCAATAAAAGCAAAACGGGAGGAAAAGAATGGGCCGACGAACCCGACCTGAATTTTTTTTTTTTATAAATCTTTTTTTATATGAATATGTCCTAATAGGCCTTATTAATGCAAATGTACCTAATGTCTATATGCCATGCAATTCAATGAAAATATTTTTTGTTTAGTGGTTTAAAAATTAAACCCTAAAATTTTTTATACGATAAAACCCTGAATGATTTGAGCAAAATTTAGGTGTCAACAGCTGCCCCTCTTTGAAGGGGAGCTCGAAGAGGTTCCTTTCAAAGATAAGAGACGCCTAAATTTTGTTGACAGAGGGCACGGGATGATGCAATGCAAGGAAGAGGAGAAAATAAAATAAAATCTAAATAAACGAAAAGCATAGTTTAAAGAAAAATGTGGTTTAAGGTTGGACCACAAACCTTTTGAAAGAGTGGTTTAAGGTTGGACCACAAACTTTTGAAAAACGTGGTTTAAGGTTGGACCACAAACCTTTTGGAAAGCGTGGTTTAAGGTTGGACCACAAACCTTTGGAAACGCGGTTTAAGGTTGGACCACAAACCTCTTGGAAAGCGTGGTTTAAGGTTGGTCCACAAACCTTTGGAAGCGTGGTTTAAGGTTGGACCACAAACCTTTGGAAGCGTGGTTTAAGGTTGGACCACAAACCTTTTGGAAAGCGTGGTTTAAGGTTGGACCACAAACCTTTGGAAACGTGGTTTAAGGTTGGACCACAATCCTTTGGAAACGTGGTTTAAGGTTGGACCACAAACCTCTTGGAAAGCGTGGTTTAAGGTTGGACCACAAACCTTTGGAAGCGTGGTTTAAGGTTGGACCACAAACCTTTTGGAAAAACGTACCTAGGTGTACATACCTGTAGGTTAGATCGGATTGTCTAAAGGCTCTCTGTCAGCGGGGCTTGAAAAGACCCAAACACTTAGGGGTCCTTGTCCGAGGGTTTGATAGATCGCCTATTATGTCCTTGCCAGCAGGGTCTTGGGAATTCATGAATGCTTGGATGCTTGGAATTCATGAATCCTATTGTGTCCGAAGGTTGATGTTTGAGGAAACGTCACCTGTCTTACAGGATTAGTAATAACAGGTACATGTATTCATCTAGGAAATCGACGACCGGCACTCTCTAAAACACATGCTTCAAGATCAGTTCCATTGGAGTTCATGTGTAACGATTTTAACATGTCCGCATCACCAACTTTCCACCGGGGATAATTATCATTTAAGACAATTTCCACTCATAACATGAATCATCTTGAAAATGCTAAATGAGAGACTTTCAATTAGAAAGGACTTTTGTTCACTCTCATCTAAAAGGGTTATTTTGTGAGAATCACTCTGTCTTACCATCATCACGTCGACAAATGTCCGAGTATTCTCGCAAACAGTACAACCTTACCAATCTGAGAGGTCTTCATCAGGACTGTAATATAGGCTTGGTCGATGGTTTAACAAATGAGACTGTCCAAGTCGAAGCTATGAAATAAATACTTCGAGATCATCTTCGGGTTTACAAGTCAAGAACTCTGCGAAATAGGATAAAAAATAATCTTGTTTGCACTTCTTCGAGCGATGCTTATAAACATATGAGCTCCTACGTTGACTCAAGTGCCCCAATCAGAAAAGACTTTACGAAGGACGTAACGTAGG